AGGTTTGATTTTTCAATGTTTGCAAAATTACAAGAAAGTAGGATAAAGATAACAAGTAAAGTATTTATAGTTGGGATTTTTAAAAAGGGAAGAAGATATTACTGTTATTAAGGTATGCTATGTCATTATGGTAGAATTATTAAATTAAAAAACATGATGTTTTAAATTTTTGTTTTTCATGAAATTAGTTGTTTTTATAAAAAAAAAATTCATGAAAATAGTTATTTTTTCTTAAATGTATTTGTTTCATCAATTTGATGTATAATTTAAGCCAACCTTGTTTCTTTATTTGTATAACATGACACGGAATGTTAGAATCTAGATAACATAATAAGGAGAATAATGGAGTTTAATAATATCATCTAGCACACCTGTTATATCAGTGCCAGTCAATATTGCATTTTGGAGTGAATCTGCTACCACACAGCGGGTTGGGGATTATAAGAATGGCGTCCGTCTGTCTGTCAGTCCGTTTGTAGCATTTTGGTGGCAACTCAGTTGTTGCACTTTGAACTTCTTGCCATAATGGTGCTTATTTGTGCCAAGTTAAATTAAAAATTGTTCAGTATTTTAAAAAGTTATAGAGAGGACACAGAAATGTTACACTGACAGACAGATGGACAGGCAGATGGAAACAGTTCCTATAATTTCCTTCCTGCTTTGAGCTGGAGAATAATATGGAATAATTTAAACCAGTCTAAGAATAAGTTTGGTCAACTTGCACAAATGTGCAGACTGGTTTGACTGTATAATGATGCTATTGTCTGCATAATTCAGGGTAAGAATTTCCCTATTTTCAATTGCAACTTTCTCCTGAACTGGCAAAATGAGATATTACTTTGAAAGTTTGAATGTACTAAATGTTTTGAATTTCAGCTTGAACTGGCTATGAACCTTTTTATTGAAATTGTGCAAATTGTGTAAATATCATACACCATTGTAAATTACCAATAGTCTCAGTTTGCATTTATATCAACATAATGCAATTTTTTGAATTTTTGGGTCATCTATGATGTGGTTTTCTCAGCTGCCGCGTACTCTGGGTTTTTTTTTTATTTATTTATTTTTTTTCAAAGAAAGAACATCAGAGATTTTTTTAAATGCTCTCTACTTAACAGCTTGCAAAAATATGAGTTTGAATTAAAAACACTAGCAATATTGAAAGTTTACTTGAATTTTGCAAACAAAAGTTTCAACTGTGTGGTCATTTAAACATTAAAGATTAGAGTTTGGCCAAACTGTGCCAATATGCAGACAGGGTCAGGCTCAGCTGTATAGTAAGACAATTTCTGTAAGTTTTAAAACCAGTCTAATAATAGATTTTGTTCAGATCAAGCAGTTTGTACAGGCTAGGCATTGTCTCCCTTTATTAAAAAACATCAGCAAAAGATAATATTAATGAATACAGCTAACATAGATCTGTTATTTCTTAAAGCATAACTATTCAAAGAATAGAGAAAGCTATTTATCACTCTGGCATCACACTTAGGTAAAGTTTTTGCATGCAAGTTGGTATCTCCAAAACTGCTAAAGGGAATGGATTGAAACTTGTTACACTTATGTGAGAATATAATAGAAGAATATAAAAGAAGGTAATTTTTCAAAGCCCAAAACTCTTAACATGAATTTGAACAGAATAGATTTGGCCTTTATTAAACTTAAAAAATTCTACCATTTATTACGTCATACTTCTGTCGGTCTCAAATTGGATGGGTGCCGGACCATATCATATAAATCAGTGCGCCTTTCGTACATGTAGCTCTTGTTTTACTACCAAGCACTAAGAATGGTTGAGTACAATGCCTAATTGACAGCTCTTGTTTTACTATCAAGCACTAAGAATGGTTTAGCACAATGCCTTATTGACAGCTCTTGTTTTACTATTAAGCTCTAAGAATGGTTGAGCACAATGCCTTATTGACAGCTCTTGTTTTACTATCAAGCACTGAGAATGGTTGAGCACAATGCCTTATTGACAGCTCTTGTTTTACTTTGTTTGTTTGGATTTTACGGCACGTCCACACATAAATGGCCATATCGTGCCGAATGCTAAAATAGGCTTAAACTTTTATGTAAAACGTTGTAAATAAAAATAAACAAGAAATATCTTTAAAAAAGATAATCGGCGTAAATTCAGTGCAAAATGTCTCATAGCTTTAGAATATTTTCAAAATTAATGATAATGACTGCAAAGGCCACAATCAGCTGACAACTTGTATTTTATTGTTAAATAATATTAACTTATATGTATCAGACCTTCATTTTGTAAAAGTACTTCTGTGCATAAAATGCTGCAATTATTAGGTCATGATAATAACACCAAAATCTTTTGTTGTTTATATCTTTTATTTATGAAAGAATACAAACTGTAATAAACAATCAATGGAACATATCAACTCTGAACTATATACTATTTATAATGCCTTCTTATCTATCTGGCAATGAAAATGAATAATTGAAGACTAAAATCAAAAGTTAAACATAACACTGATTATCAAGTGAGACAGTTTCAGATTGTGGTAGTCAATTGGGGTGTATTTCGGTAAATTTACCTACCGGTGTAAACAAACGCCGAATAACTATGAATAATTTAATTTGTTATTATTACGCACAGAAAATAATACTTAAAGTTTTGCGATAATGTTGCATTTTAAATATATTAATTATCGCAATTCATATCAGCTCTGGAGAATCTTTTTGTTGATCAAAAATACCGTTCATTTTCATAGAAAACAGAAAAGCTACGGCAAATAAAGTACGAGTGAGTAGTAATCGAATGTTTAAGTAAAGGCTGAAAAACAAAAAGTTGGGTTTGTTGTTAATATTATCAACAAAATAAATTGTACATGAAATCATATGTACTGTATATTTTTGTATTTTGATATATCTTTGTTTTGGTCATAACGTTGTGATATTTAGTTTACGATTGTATAAATATTTTTAATACAACTTTATTCTTAGAGACAAGTAAACTAAAGATTACGAATTTGTCCTTAAATTTCATAACAGCCAGTCTTTCCACCAATGAAAAACACCCTCTTTTAGCTGAAGATTTTGTAACTTACAATTTCATTTGTTAAAAATCTAGGTCAAAATCCATTTTAATACAGCTACGCCGAAAAAAGAGCCAATCAGATCTTTGAATACAAGTTGATCTCTTTCAAATAATCGATGATGTTTTTTGATGGAATTGTATTAAAGAGTTCTTTGAGTGAGTTTACATTATAAAATCTTGTTTTACTATCAAGCTCTAAGAATGGTTGAGCACAATGCCTTATTGACAGCTCTTGTTTTACTATCAAGCACTGAGAATGGTTGAGCACAATGCCTTATTGACAGCTCTTGTTTTACTATCAAACACTGAGAATGGTTGAGCACAATGCCTTATTGACAGCTCTTGTTTTACTATCAAGCACTAAGAATGGTTGAGCACAATGCCTTATTGACAGCTCTTGTTTTACTATCAAGCACTGAGAATGGTTGAGCACAATGCCTTATTGACAGCTCTTGTTTTACTATCAAGCACTGAGAATGGTTGAGCACAATGCCTTATTGACAGCTCTTGTTTTACTATCAAGCACTAAGAATGGTTGAGCACAATGCCTTATTGACAGCTCTTGTTTTACTATCAAGCACTAAGAATGGTTGAGCACAATGCCTTATTGACAGCTCTTGTTTTACTATCAAGCACTAAGAATGGTTGAGTACAATGCCTTATTGACAGCTCTTGTTTTACTATCAAGCTCTATGAATGGTTGAGCACAATGCCTTATTGACAGCTCTTGTTTTACTATCAAGCACTAAGAGTGGTTGAGCACAATGCCTTATTGACAGCTCTTGTTTTACTATCAAGCTCTAAGAATGGTTGAGCACAATGCCTTATTGACAGCTCTTGTTTTACTATCAAGCTCTAAGAATGGTTGAGCACAATGCCTTATTGACAGCTCTTGTTTTACTATCAAGCACTGAGATTATGGTTGAGCACAATGCCTTATTTACAGCTCTTGTTTTACTATCAAGCACTAAGAATGGTTGAGCACTATGCCTTATTTACAGCTCTTGTTTCAATGTCTTATTGACAGCTCTTGTTTCATTTACATTTTTCTCTCTAAATGTCTCTGTATTGATTGTTATAATTTGGTATGTAATTATCTTGATATTAATTATGATATGATATTATTTGCAGTGCAACATTGTGCTGTTCTACTTTTGCAGCTTAGTTATTTAATGGACATATATGATTATGAAAGCATCTAAACAGGTGTTAGTGCCACTCACAAATATTATAAATTATCTGTGAATCTGCATGGTAACATTACATAAAAGATTGTTCAATATATGGATTTTAGATTTGAAGTAGGTTGATTATTATTCTTTATATATAATTCATATTTGGATGAAAAAAAGGTAAGAAAAAGTTTATTTGAAGAAGTAATAAATATCAATTTTCATAGATATGGTTCAAGATTCCATTGTCAAATTATACCTCCACTTGTTTGCCTACTTTCTGCACATGTTTTAAATAAAGATAAGAAGAAAGTGCAGAAGTACAACACATCAACACCAGAGATGGTGTATGTTATTTATTTTCTACCAGTTTCGTTTTTTTATCAAACCTTTTAAATAAATTTAGTGAAATTGAATGAAATTAAATAAATTTGATAAAATTTAGATAAATTTAAATGATGTTACAAATGATCAGTGGAAATTGACTATGATATCTTAACTTTTGTCTTAACAAGGAAAGTGATGGGATCTAATTTGCTAGATTTTAGTTATTGAATAAGTATTTAACATTTGCCACAATGGAAATGAAAAACTATTTGAAATGTGAAATATTTTGTATGCAATTTTGTCAGTGCTTGTCTGGCATCTGGCTAGTTATTCAAAATTAGATATATATAATGATTCTTTCATGTTGGGAAGCTGACCAGTCAAGTTACTGAATAATACTGAGTGTTAATAAATACATGTTACGATGTAGTTGTAATAAATTTTAGGCTGAGAATGGGTAAACAGAAAGCAAGTAAAGATCAGACAGCTAGTGTTGTGGTGGACAAGCAGGATAGAGGTCAGATGTTTGAGTCTTTGTTTGGCTTCAAGACGTCAGATCTCACTAGCATGGACTCTTTGCTCAAACTGCTGTGTCGGCCCACAGATCCCTCTGGACTTGGAGTTATGCGCATGGTCTTTGGTAAGTTTTGGTATAGAAATTTTGTGTAATATTTGTCCTTCTTTTTAATTATCATATCAAAATATGATCTGTGTATGCTGAGGTATGTGGTCAAGGGCAACAAATCTTGTCTTTCATTTTTGTCAAGAGTTATGTAGAGATTTGACATGCATATATTGTAAACATTTATACTCGTGCAAACTTACAAAATAAATTATTTCATAAATGTATAGAAAATTTCAATGGTTTGAGTGTAATAATGATGTACATTTTTAAATGATAAAGGGAAACAATTTCTGTTTTTAAAGTGCCATCAGAGTTATGGCCCTTTTAGAGTAAAAGAGATTTTGCTGGTATATAAGATAATATTATTATAGACATGTTTATACATGTATATTGAGCTATGGATTAACTGAGGTCAGCAGTCACAAGATTTCAACCAATCCTTCACAGAATGCTTGTTATCATAGAGAGCATATAGTCAGGATATTGTGATTGGATCACATCTGGCAGAGTTACAGACCTTTATTTTTCGCATATGTAATATTGGCAGAAACTGTAATTTGTGACAATAAACTGTATGTAACTGGTTTTATATATTTCAGGATTACTAATGGTGTTTGATATATGGCAGGAACGTGGTCTAAGTAATGCAGTGGAGGAATTTGGTGACCCATTTCTCTGTAGATTTCCACTTTTTGACTTCCTGAAACCGTTACCCCTTGTCTGGATGTACATTGTCTACCTACTTATGTTTTTAGGTATGATACATATAATATGTACTTGATGAGTAATAATTATATACTTCATGCTTTTTTTGCAACTTTAATGTCCTAAGCTTTTTTTTTAAAATTCTCTGACATTGAAACAATTCTTTAAGCTTAATATATTTAATGTTTTTCTACTGTTTACAATATTTTCAAAGCTTGTCTGACGCAAAAAAAGGTCAGTGTTGAGATTTTGAGAATACCCGATGACTATTGTAGTCAGTTTTCTGTTCTTTTCTGCAATTCATTTTACTCACCTTATGGTAGAATTTGATCAGTCTAAATACTGTCATGGAGTTCACATTTTTTCATTGACTAAGTGGATTACATCATCGTATAAAATCAAAGGTAGGTTTATTATGTCGTATATAAAATCAAAGGTAGATTTATCACATCACCCTATAAAATCAAAGGTTGGTTTATCACATCATCATAAAATTATAAAATCAAAGGTTGTTTATTACATAATCATATAAAATCAAAGGTAGGTTTATTACATCATCATATAAAATCAAAGGTAGGTTTATTACATCATCATATAAAATCAAAGGTAGGTTTATTGTGTCATCATATAAAATCAAAGGTAGGTTTATTACATCATCATATAAAATCAAAGGTAGGTTTATCACATCATCCTATAAAATCAAATGTAGGTTTATCACATCATCCTATAAAATCAAAGGTAGGTTTATCACATCATCCTATAAAATCAAAGCTAGGTTTATTACATCATCATATAAAATCAAATATAGGTTTATTACATCATCATATAAAATCCAAGGTAGTTTTATCATATCATCCTATAAAATCAAATGTAGGTTCATTGTATCATCATATAAAATCAAAGGTAGGTTTATCACATCATCATATAAAATCAAATGTACGTTTATTACATCATCATATAAAATCCAAGGTAGGTTTATTACATCATCATATGAAATCAAATGTAGGTTTATCACATCATCATCATATAAAATCAAATGTAGGTTTATCACATCATCCTATAAAATCAAAGGTAGGTTTATCACATCATCCTATAAAATCAAAGGTAGGTTTATCACATCATCCTATAAAATCAAAGGTTGGTTTATCACATCATCCTATAAAATCAAAGGTAGGTTTATCACATCATCATATAAAATCAAAGGTTGGTTTATCACATCATCCTATAAAATCAAAGGTAGGTTTATCACATCATCATATAAAATCAAAGGTAGGTTTATCACATCATCCTATAAAATCAAAGGTAAGTTTATTACATCATCATATAAAATTAAATGTAGGTTTATTGTATCATCATGTAAAATCAAAGATAGGTTTATTACATCAACATATAAAATCAAATATAGGTTTATTACATCATCATTAAAATCCAAGGTAGTTTTATCATATCATCCTATAAAATCAAATGTAGGTTTATTACATCATCATATAAAATCAAATGTAGTTTTATCACATCATCATAAAAAATCAAATGTAGGTTTATTACATCATCATATAAAATCAAATGTAGGTTTATTACATCATCATATAAAATCAAATATAGGTTTATCACATCATCCTATAAAATCAAAGCTAGGTTTATTACATCATCATATAAAATCAAATATAGGTTTATTACATCATCATATAAAATCCAAGGTAGTTTTATCATATCATCCTATAAAATCAAATGTAGGTTCATTGTATCATCATATAAAATCAAAGGTAGGTTTATCACATCATCATATAAAATCAAATGTACGTTTATTACATCATCATATAAAATCAAAGGTTGTTTATTACATCATTATATAAAATCCAAGGTAGATTTATTACATCATCATATAAAATCAAAGGTAGGTTTATTACATCATCATATAAAATCCAAGGTAGGTTTATCACATCATCCTATACAATCAAAGGTAGGTTTATCACATCATAATATAAAATCAAAGGTTGTTTATTACATCATCATATAAAATCAAAGGTAGGTTTATTACATATAATATAAAATCAAAGGCAGGCTTATTACATCATCATATAAAATCCAAGGTAGGTTTATAACATCATCATAAAAAATCAAATGTAGGTTTATTACATCATCATATAATTATAAAATCAAAGGTAGGTTTATCACATCATCATATAAAATCAAAGGTAGGCTTACTATGTCTATATTAAATCAAAGTCAGGTTGATAATGTCATAATATAAATTCAAGGGTAGGTTTTTTATGTCCTTAATAAAATCAAAGGTAGGTTTAGTAATCATCATATAAAATAAAAATTTGTGTTCCAAAAATAGCCATGTTAGTTAGGGTCATGACTTGTGACATGTCTTGAGCCTGTACTCCATATTGAAAGCTATTTTTGTGCTTTAACAGGCAAATGGACCATCATTATACATATACTATCTAGCTGAGCTTGTATTGCTTGTCAACCTTTGGCTAAGATTAAATTGTAGTATCTGTTCTTATCAGCCTAATGTTCGATTTTTGGACACAGGTGAGATGTCAGGGATTTCCTTGGCTCTTGCCATTGGTTGGCCGGATACTGCAGTAACACCAGGACTGGCCTGCCTCCCTATGAGAGAAGAAAATACAATACCAATCAGCCAGACCGTCTCCGTGGTCGAGGGGTAAGAGTTGGTGACTTCTAATCCAGTTACCTCTCTGGCATGGATTCGATCCCCGGGAGATGCTTTGGTAGTTTAGCACGAAGGAAGGTAGACCAGTACTGGTGTAACTGTCCAGAAACAATGGTTAGGAAACTACCCGCCTATATGACTGAAATACTGTTGGGAAAACAATGAAAATAAACAAATGAATAAAATGAAACAAACAAACAAACAAAAAACACAAAAGCCAATTTCCTCAGTAAACATGACTTGTGTCTTAAATTTTGTTATCCCACACTTAAATGGGAGGGATATAGATGTCTGTCTTGCTATTTGTTCTTTTGTCCATCTGTGCCAACAAATTTTCATGGTGGATATGGTAACAATAGCTATTTTTGTAATTCCTTATGTGTAAAAATAACCCTATATTTCCATTCCTCAAGGGATTTTAACCAAACTTACTCCTAATGATAGTTATTGTTTAGAGTCCTGGCACACAATGCTAATCTATTTTTAGCTCACCAGAGCACATGCTCAACTTACGCTATTGTGATTACCCTGTGTCAGTTGTCAGTCATATGTTGTCCAGTGTGCATTGTGACCATTTTTAGTTCATCAACATCTCTTTGAAAACCACTTGGCCAAGGGAAATGAAACCGTACAGGAATGATCTTTGGATGGTCTTTTATAAAATTTGCTCAAATTTTTTCCAGTCTGCAGTAAAAAAAGTACACCATCAGATTTAAATTATCTAAAGACTTTAACTGACATATTTTTCTCTGCCATTTGGTACATGTAGATTTGGATGAAACTTAAAAGGAATGACTATTAGGTAGGCATTTTTAAAACTAATCGTTTTTGTCTGTTGAACAAGATGGCCACCAGAGCTAAAAATAGAAATAAGATTTAAGTGACATTATAGAGTCCTCCTTAAAGATCATGTAACACAATTTTTTTTATGGTTTTATATCATAAACATGATGCTCAAATTAAGATTTATCAATATTGTAAGTTCCAAAAAGCATTATTTATTAAGATATTACTGAATTTTCATATTTCATGTTAATAAATGGAGGTTATTGGAAATTTGTTTTCTTTAAAGTCTACATCACATTTTTCAATAAGAAATGAATGCAAATATTTTAATGATTACATATAATGTGCATAAATATTTGCAGTGCATATTTTACATATTCTTAGATGTTTGAATTGTTTTATAAGCATAATTATATACATATATAAAATTTCACTTAAGTGTGGTAACAACCTATGAGCCATACTTTTTGCTCAATAGTAGAGCGTTGGACTGTGAATCGGGCGATGCTGGTTCAATTCCCAGTGGCGCAGGTCATTTTCGTTGTGATTGATCATGATAGAGACAACTTTTTGTCTTTCAGTCAATAAAATTTTTCAACAGCTGATTTAAGTCAGCTGCTGTTAAGTCATGGTTTTGATGAAGAATGGGCACAGGGCATTTTAGGTGAAAATATAAAATTTTGGGGAAATTATACAAATTTTTAGGCTAGGCAAAACATTTATTTTGCTGTAAAATATAGGGGAAAAATCACTGTTTCCCATCAATAATTTTTCCCAGGAAACATCTAGTATTTATGGGTTCCTCACTCAAAACCAGCAGGCTATATTTATCATGTATAAGACTTTAAAATGTTGGTTCATTTTTAGCTCACCTGAGCACAAAGTGTGAGCTTTTGTCATCACTCTGCGTCCGTCGTGCGGCGTGCGTCGTGCGTCCTTCAAAAAATGGCGTCAAACTTTTCAAACAACATCTCCTCCTAAACCACATGGCTAATTGCAACCAAACTTTACAGAAATGATCCTTAGGTGGACCCCTTTCAAAGTTGTTCAAAAATTTAAATTCCATTAAAAACTCTGGTTGCCATGGCAACCAATAGGAAAAACTTAAAAAATCTTCTTTTAAAAAACCCTAAGAGCTAGAGCTTAGATATTTGGCATGAAACATCTTCTAATGAGTGTCTACCAAGTTTGTTCAAATCAAAGCCCTGGGGTCAAAATTGGCCCCGCCCCAGGGGGTCATTGATTTTCCCTATATGCATATAGTAAAAACTTAAAAAATCTTCTTTTAAAGAACTCAAAGAGCTAAAGCTAAGATATTTAGCATGAAACATGTTCTAATGGGTGTCTACCAAGTTTGTTCAAATAAAAGCCCTGGGGTCAAAATTGGCCCCACCCCGGGGGTCATTGATTTTCCTTATATGTGTATAGCTAAAACTTAAAAAATCTTCTTTGAAAAAACCCAAATAGCTGTAGTTTAGATATTAAGCATGAAACATCTTCTAGTGACTGTCTACAAAGTTTGTTCAAATAAAAGCCCTGGGGTCAAAATTGGCCCCGCCCCGGGGGTCATTGATTTTCCGTATATGTGTATAGCAAAAACTTAAAAATCTTCTTTGAAAAAACCCAAATAGCTAGAGTTTAGATATTAAGCATGAAACATCTTCTAGTGAGTGTCTACCAAAAGTGTTCAAATAAAAGCCCTTGGGTCAAAATTGGCCCCGCCCCAGGGGGTCTTTGGTTTTCCCTATATGCATATAGTAAAAACTTAAAAACTCTTCTTTTAAAGAACCCAAAGAGCTAGAGCTAAGATATTTAGCATGAAACATGTTCTAATGGGTGTCTACCAAGTTTGTTCAAATAAAGCCCTAGGGTCAAAATTGGCCCCGCTCCAGGGGGTCATTGATTTTCCTTATATGTGTGTAGTAAAAACTTAAAAACTCTTCTTTGAAAAAACCCAAATAGCTAGAGTTTAGATATTAAGCATGAAACATCTTCTAGTGAGTGTCTACAAAGTTTGTTCAAATAAAAGCCCTGGGGTCAAAATTGGACCCGCCCCGGGGGTCATTGATTTTCCTTATATGTGTATAGCAAAAACTTAAAAACTCTTCTTTGAAAAAACCCAAATAGCTAGAGTTTAGATATTAAGCCATGGGGGTCATAGATTTTCCTTATATGTGTATAGTACAAACTTAAAAAATCGTCTTTTAAAAAACCCAATGAGCTAGAGCTTAGATGTTTAGCATGAAACATCTTCTTATTGGTGTCTACCAAGTTTGTTTTAATAAAAGCCCCTGGATTAAAATTGGTCCTAACGGGGGGAGTAGATCATTGTTTTTCATTATATGTGTGTAGTAAAAACTTAACATTTTGAAACATCTTCTAATGGATGTCTTCCAAGTTTGTTCAAATAAAAGCCCTGGGGTTTAAACTGGCCCCGCTTCGGGTGCCTTTATACAGGTGAGCGACCTCAGGGCCATCATGGCCCTCTTGTTCTAATTTCAGGTGAAGTTGGTATCTTACTGGGCTTGTTTTACCGGTTAAGTTGTTTGGTATTTGTGATGACATATTGGTACCTTTTTCTCCTGGATAAAACAAGTTGGAACAATCACAGTTACCTGTTTGGTCTCATAGGAATTTTACTGTTGCTAACTGATGCTAACAGATATTGGTAAGTTAACCTTTTATGCCCCGGAAGGACAGCATATTAAAGTCGTTCCCTCTGTCTGAGCGTACCACAGCATTTGTGTCCAGACTAACTATGTCATGCATTGCAAGATTTCAAATTAACTTGGCACAAATGTCGACCACATCATTGTGATGTGTCGCGTCTAAGCCCGTGTCCCCTCCTCAAAGGTCAAGGTCACACTTAGAGTTTAAAGGTTCACATCCTCACAATTAGAGTTTAAAGTGAAAAAATTCTTAGGGGACAAGAACAAATTCAGTAGTTATATGACTCATTATTTATTGCATGTCACTGTAATAGAATATCACTTTCAAGGAAACAGTGATAGTTGAAGAACTCTTGTAGCACTGGACTCTTGTAGCACCGGACTCTATGATTGAAGAAATTGTTTAGCAAAGTGTGTCCTTAAAGCTGGATCCCTGCAGATTCATGCTAATTTTCATGAAAATTTTTAAAAATGTATTTAAATATAATTTTTTTTGAAGTTACCAAAGAAAGGAATTCTCACATTGCAAATGGCACCTACAGTCCACTTTAATTACCAAAAAGATGTCAAAATATGCAAAAATTGCCCTTACTGCCATAGTTACACATTAGAAATATGGTGAAAAATACCGCAAAATCAGCCAATAATCACACATAACAAATAAATTATTACTTGAATACTTTTCTTTAAATCTATGTGCATTTTTCTCAAGTTTGATTTTCTTGAAATATTTTTTGCATATCTTGAGGTATTCAGCTTTAAAGAGCTATTGTTGTATGGAACTAAATGGTTATAGAATTCTTTCAATAGAAGCATGAATTTTTAAAGTACATTATAAAGCTCTTTTTTGTGTCACCTCTACGGAGTAGTGGCGACATATAGGGATCACTTCTCCGTCGTCTGTCTGTCCGTCTGTCTGTCTGTCTGTCTGTCTATCTGTCCGTCCGTCCGTCACAAAACTTGTCCGGACTACTCCTCATAAACTACTGGTGCAATTTCATCCAAACTTTACAGGAATGATCAGTACCAAGTCTAGTTGTGCATATTGTCAGCATTTTCCGGTTCAATGATTTTTGTCAGAGTTATGGCCCTTTAATAATTTTTAATTTTAAAGTTTGTCCGGACTACTTCTCTTATACCACTAATGCAATTTCAATGAAACTTTACAGGATTGATCTGTAGCTCAAGTCCTTGCGCATATTGCACGGGTTTTCCGGTTGAATGATTTTTGGCCGAGTTATGGCCCTTTGATAAAAAGGTTTCTTTTTCTGTGTGTTGCCAGATACACAAAAGCTTGTCCGGACTACTCCTCATAAACTACTGGTGCAATTTCATCCAAACTTTACAGGAATGATCAGTACCAAGTCTTGTTGTGCATATTGTCAGCATTTTCCGGTTCAATGATTTTTGTCAGAGTTATGGCCCTTTAATAATTTTTAATTTTAAAGTTTGTCCGGACTACTTCTCTTATACCACTAATGCAATTTCAATGAAACTTTACAGGATTAATCTGTAGCTCAAGTCCTTGCGCATATTGCACGGGTTTTCCGGGTGAATGATTTTTGGCCGAGTTATGGCCCTTTGATAAAAAGGTTTCTTTTTCTGTGTGTTGCCAGATACACAAAAGCTTGTCCGGACTACTCCTCATAAACTACTGGTGCAATTTCATCCAAACTTTACAGGAATGATCAGTACCAAGTCTTGTTGTGCATGTTGTCAGCATTTTCCGGTTCAATGATTTTTGTTTGAGTTATGGCCCTTTAATAATTTTTATTTTTAAAGTTTGTCCGGACTACTTCTCTTATACCACTAATGCAATTTCAATGAAACTTTACAGGATTGATCTGTAGCTCAAGTCCTTGAGCATATTGCACGGGTTTTCTGGTTGAATGATTTTTGGCCGAGTTATGGCCCTTTGATAAAAAGGTGTTTTTTTCTGTGTGTTGCCAGATACGCAAAAGCTTGTCCGGACTACTCCTCATAAACTACTGGTGCAATTTTATCCAAACTTTACAGGAATGATCAGTACCAAGTTTAGTTGTGCACTGTCCGTCTGTCTGTCCGTCTGTCACAAAATTTGTCCAAACATGAAATTGGCCATCATGAGGCGACACATGTGATTACTGATCGCTCTTGTTTTTCTTATATAGCCCAAAGTTAATTTGTACCAAGTTTGGTGCTTTTCCCATTTTCTGAAGTAGAGGGGACTAATATGAGTTTTTTTAAGGAAATGCGTCATTCATGACTTTAAATCATTGTTAACATAAATAGGCAACAGCAAGCCTAGGTGGTAATGACGTAAGTGATTTTGTAAATAGATGTTTCGAAAAGAAGTTATTAATTATTCTTCACAGTTCTAAAAGATTTGATGATGTCATGAATGGGAGCGCATGTCTGTGACAAAAATCAGTAAAAATGACTTTAAACCCATAAAAGCATGAAACAAAGAAAATTCATCTTGCATGTAAGATTGAAATATATTTCACTCGTGAACACTGGTCTAGTTCTTATATTATTTTCACTTGTGGCTATGCCACTTGTTATATACACCACTCTTGAAAATATTACATCTGGTTTTAACTCTGTGAAATATATAACGATCTTAAATGCAAAACAAACATATATCCCCTCTATATTTTTTAAGGTCTTTCTACCTTAGTTTGTCACATGTATAATTGTATCAAAATTATGCTTATTATTACAGGTCACTGGATGGATTGTTGTTCAAAAGGAAAAGGCATACTCATGTACCTATGTGGAACTATGCTATTCTGAGATTCCAGGTATGAACATTAAAAATGGACAACTCTTGTAAAATTTGATAAAACACTTTGTCTTGACTTACCTCCCCTTGAAAGGTTACTTGTTATATTAAAGGTGTTAGATTTAGATTCAAAATTAAGTTTTTGTAAGTTTTCTATGTTAATGAATAGCACAGATAGGAATATATTGTTAAAACTTGCAGTATTCTGTAAAAATAGGAATATATTGTTAAAACTTGCAGTATTCTGTAAAAAATATATATCAGCATTTAAGTAACTGATAGCTAAGCTTATTTTCATAATGTAACACTTTCGTTTTTGATTTATATTTGCCATGTAGTACATTAGTATATTTCGTGGAACTCTTTTTATGATATTTCATATTATATGTATATTATTGTATATGTGACTGATGCCTCTAAGAGGCCCAGCATTTTCAATAAACTGTTCAAACTGTAAACAATTTACTAATTATTGGATACCAGGGTAACAAGTTTTGAATTTTTATCACTCACAGTTTGTTTGTTTGGAATTGTTTGAAGGTAAATTCTCACCACTGAGGCTTCAGTTGATACAGAATTATCTTGAGCTTGAATTTGCAGGAAGTTATAAGCTTAATAGACACACTGTCAACACACTAACACTTTAAAATGTTCTCTTTAGGGCAAGAATGTTTTGGTATTACATGGCTAAATCTTACAAAACATTCTGCTACACAGTGCTTTTTTTACCATCTGGGATTCACCTGCAGGACCTGTCTGTTAGATGTCAGCATTGGTTGTATCTGCTGCGGCCTTGGAAAGCTTCTGGGACAGCATGTTACTGTCCATATAGACCTGTACAAAATTTGTTTTTACTACTTTTAATCTGCACATTAAGCCTTAAATACCTTGTATAGTCTTCAAGTAGATAATGCTGCTCAAGAAAGGACCCTGTAATTTTATGGGTAGAAGAAGAATATTTTTGGCCTGAGAATCAATCCTGCAAAACAATATTGAAAAACAACTCACTACTTTACCAGTGAATACTTCAATCACAAAAGGTTACCTTACGTAAATGCTTTTTAATTGTTTTATGGTAAAGGTTACCTATAGTTGGAAAAGTCAAGTATGTTAGAGAGTAAGAAGTAAGTGAGAAAAAAACAGAACAAGTCTTAAGAGGAGTGTTATATTGCATTCTACATTTGAGCCGTGTCATGACAAAACAAACATAGTGCGTTTGCGACCAGCATGGATCCAAACCAGCCTGCTCATCGGAGCAGTCTGATCAGGATCCATGCTGTTTGCTATAAATTACTCTACTTGCAGTAGGGTTGGTAAGCGAACAGCATGGAGCCTGATCAGTCTGCGCATTCAGAAGAATGAACCTCACTTTTAATTATTCATATAAAATAATTGTACATGGTTTATAATCATTGTACATGGTTTAAACATATAAATTTAAGCTCGATTGCAGAACAACTTCATGCAACCTATATTAAAAAATCACTTCCGAGTCTGCATCCAGGAACTAACCAGTATTGGTGTCATATGAAAAAACATGGTCGTGACCTGATTTAGGCCTGAACCCATGATCCCTGGGTTGAAAGGCAGACACCTTGACCACTAGACCCCCGCTCCCTTTATCACATGATTATATACTTCGACAATTTCTATTTACAGATATTCATTGTGTACCTCATTGCTGGTCTAAAGAAAATGGATCTGGATTGGGTTTCTGGGTATTCCATGCATTCAATTGCTAGTCATTATGTGTTCGCACCTTTCAGGTAAAATTAAGTCATAAACTTTTAACTTTAGGAGGTTTGTGTAACAGATTAGCCCGGTTTTGAATTTTTAACAATCAAACAAAGTTTTTAAGGGATTTGAATATTAAATTGCAAAAACAAAGCTACCTAAGGTATAGTGCCTAGACTAGTCAGTCGGTCGGTCAGTCATACAGTCATGGATGTTCGGGCTGGCGTGGCTATCTACCTATGGCAAAGGAAAATACTGGATGTACAGACTTGCCTAGCTTTATACTGGTGGTAAAGGCAAATCACATCCGGTTTGATCATTTTAAAAGAGTTGAATTTCATGTTTTGGAAGAGTTATGCACCTCCAACCTATTCTTGATTTCCTACTTTTTGGATTTGAGGGGGGAAAACTTGTTTTAAAAACTATAACACTGATAAACTTTCTGGAAAAACATTTTGGAAGATCTCATATGTCTGACTGGATCGGACTGGACTGGACAGGACTGAAGTGGACTGGACCAGAACTGACAGACTGACTGACTGACAAGTATAGTCTCTCAATATTTTTTTTTTCAAAAAGAAGATATTTAAATGTTCCGATCAATTAAAAGTTGCGATTTTTCTAATCAATCCCATTCATGTATACAGGATGATTATAAGAGTTACGCCATTTTGTAGTGTGACTAGGCCCACTAAAGGCTTTTACAGCAGAGCGGTGTCTGCCTCTCAACACAGAGATCATGGGTTTGAGCCCTACTCTGGTCACTACCATGTTTCTTCATATGACACCAGTACTGGTTGGTTTCAGGAAGCAGACTCGAAAGTGATTAATATAAGTTGCAAGAACTTGTTTCGCAATCGAGCTAAAATAGATATGTTTAAACCAAAGGCTTTTACATATGTAAGCTTCATCACTTTGATATGGAAATCCTTTTCAAACAAGGTACCAGTGAAGGTAAATCACATTTTTAGCTCACCTGTCACAAAGTGACAGGGTGAGCTTTTGTGATAGCTTTTCGTCCGGCGTCCGTCCGTCCGTCCGTCCGTCCGTCGTCCGTCGTCCGTCCGTAAACTTTTGCTTTAAATGACATCTCCTCATTAACCACTGAGCCAATTTCATCCAAACTTCACAGGAATGTTCCTTTGGTGGTCACCTTTAAAAATTGTTCAAAGAATTTAATTCCATGCAGAACTCTGGTTGCCATGGCAACCGAAAGAAAAATCTTTAAATATCTTCTTTTAAACAACCCTAAGAGCTAGAGCTTAGATATTTGGCATGAAACAACTTCTAGTGGATGTCTACCAAGTTTGTTCAAATAAAAGCCCTGGGGTCAAAATTGGCCCCGCCCCAGGGGGTCATGGATTTTCCCTATATGCATATAGTAAAAACTTAAAAAATCTTTTTTTAAAGAACCCAAAGAGCTAGAGCTAAGATATTTGGCATGAAACATCTTCTAGTGAGTGTCTACCAAGTTTGTTCAAATAAAAAGCCCTAGGGTCAAAATTGGCCCCGCCCCGGGGGTCATTGATTTTCCCTATATGCATATAGTAAAACCTTAAAAAAATCTTCTTTTAAAGAACCATAAGAGCTAGAGCTTAGATATTTGGCATGAAACATCTTCTAGTGAATGTCTACCAAGTTTGTTCAAATAAAAGCCTGGGTCAAAATTGGCCCCGCCCCTGGGGTCATTGATTTTCCCTATATGCATATAGTAAAACCTTAAAAAATCTTCTTTTAAAGAACCGTAAGAGCTAGAGCTTAGATATTTGGCATGAAAACATCTTCTAGTGAATGTCTACCAAGTTTGTTCAAATAAAAACCCTGGGGTCAAAATTGGCCCCGCCCCAGGGTGTCATTGTTTTTCCCTATATGCATATAGTAAAAGCTTAAAAATCTTCTTTAAAGAACCCAAAGAGCTAGAGCTAAGATATTAAGCATGAAACATCTTCTAGTGAGTGTCTACCATGTTTGTTCAAATTAAAGCCCTCGGGTCAAAAATTGGCCCGGCCCTGGGGGGTCATTGATTTTCCCTATATGCATATAGTAAAAACTTAAAAAATCTTCTTTTAAAGAACCATAAGAGCTAGAGGTTAGATATTTGGCAAGAAACATCTTCTAGTGAATGTCTACCAAGTTTGTTCAAATAAAAGCCCTGGGGTCAAAATTGACCCGCCCCAGGGGGTCATAGATTTTCCCTAAATGCATATAGTAAAAACTTAAAAATTTTCTTTTAAAGAACCCAAAGAGCTAGAGCTAAGATATTTAGCATGAAACGTCTTCTTATGAGTGTCTACCAAGTTTGTTCAAATAAAATCCCTGGGGTCAAAATTGGCCCCGCCCCAGGGGGTCATTGATTTTCCTATATGCATATAGTAAAAACTTAAAAAATCTTCTTTTAAAGAACTCAAAGAGCTAGAGCTAAGATATTTAGCATGAAACATGTTCTAATGGGTGTCTACCCAAGTATGTTCAAATGAAAGCCCTGGGGTCAAAACTGGCCCCGCCCGGGGGGTCATTGATTTTCCTTATATGTGTATAGCAAAAACCAAGTCTGTTCAAATAAACAAATAAAAGCCCTTGGGTAAAAATTGGCCCGGGGGTGGGGGGGGGGCCTATATACAGGTGAGCGACCTCAGGGCCATCATGGCCCTCTTGTATTTTCTATTCTAGGCTGGTACTGAGCCAGGAACAAGTCAGCTTATATATTGTACACCTTGGTGGACTTTCTATTGACCTAGTCTCGGGATTTCTACTTCTGTTTGATAAGACCAGACCCATTGCTTTTGTATTTCTTGGAATGTTTCATCTAATGAACTCACAGCTGTTTAGTATAGGTAGGTTTGCTGAAGAAAATGTTCAACCTTACCTACCTAAATTCCTATAATGGAATTGTCCATATTTCAATCTGGACAAAACCATTCAATTCTTTTAGGGAAGGTTTCAAAATATTAAGTGACTGAAAAGTGAACAGTGCAGACCCTGATCGGATCCCCGAGATGTCATTGTGCATATTTAGTTATGCAGGAACATGAAAACTACGCACAATGATACAAAATCTTTGCAAACCTAGTTATAATAGCTGACCCTAGTACTACAAAAGGTGCATATGGTTGCTATGATATTATAATTTAATCTGCATTGTAAATGTGTGTGTTTATTAATATTTTTGCCATGGAATTATTCATACAATGGTATTAAATCATTTTCTTAAAAAGAAATTTTTGTTTCACTTCACTTAAATAAAAAAAACAAAAAAACAACCACCATACATATCTTAAAATGCCATTTATGAATGATACATGATACAGATGGGTCACCTACTAATCAACCTTATCAAGTCTTTGGTATTCAACAGTCACTGGTCTCCAAAGACATTCTATTGATCGATTATTGTCAACTATATTCTTAATACAAACATTGTTTTTTTATTTTCAAACAATTTTGAAAAGAGTTAAATGTAATGTCTATAAATCATTAAAATTGTCTCTGCAGGAAACCATTTTAATTTGTTTTTTTATATAGGATGAACTAATATTTCTATTGATGATACTTAAATTGATTAATTTATTTTCAGGTATGTTTCCATGGATGATGTTAGCAACAATGCCATTATTTTGCTATCCGGACTGGCCTAGAGGATTGTTACACAAGTTTCCCAATGTTATGAAAATAGTATTACCAGCAGATCTCAGTTTGCAGTCTAGCACACATTGTATATATGATAAGAAATCCATAAAACCTGATGAAAAACAGGTATTGTCACTTAGCACTCAGATTATCTTTAAGAATCATTGTAGAGTGAAAAACAAAAGCTTAGAAAAACATGTTTATATAATTATACATAAATATGAATTTTTTATCAAAACGCAATTTTTGTGACAGTTTTCCTAGCTAAATTTCAAAGCGACTTTCATATTTGAGCATGATTATTGTGCTCATGGTGAGCTTTTAGCCATCGGTAGACATCAGTCATCTACAATTATTTTAAATTGAATTCCATCTCCATATTAACCAGGTGGCGAAATCTAATAAAAATTACCTGGTGTTATACTTACATTGAGATTTTACAAAATTGTTCAAATGGTTCTAGTCCAGTGCATATCTGTGTCACAGAAGCTATGAATAAAGTTAATGATTGTGCTATCTTTCAAAATCTTCTTCTCCCAAACCACAAGATCTTAAGCTTAGATATTTAGTGCACAGTTTTTTTACTAATCCGAAACAAAACAAGATTTTGCAAATCGTACATGTACTTCCACTGAATCAGCAAACTGTTCCAACTTCAATCTGGGAAAAAGGTCCAAAAAAGATTAAGAAAAAATACTTCGGTGCAGGGTTAGCTTGTTTAGATTACAGTAAAAACGAGATCTACTTTCACCCATTTCTTATTTGAAAGTCACTGTTGTCCCCACTTTTTATTCTTTTTAAACATCTAAACACAAGTTTCCATCATTGGTAACTGTTGATCATGTTATGACCATGATGATGGGCGTTTTGTATATATAAAACTGTTAACATGTTTTTCTGATTTAGAAATATTTAGCAAATACATATGTCAGCAAAATATTAAGGCATTTTATTGATAGGACTGCTTATAATTATTTTATAGCCTTGTCTACAAACCTTCCAGACAACCCTCATACTTTACCTTCATTATAACTGTGTTAGCTTTCATTTGTAAGATAATTGCTGAAATAACTTAACAGATAAATTAAATACAAAATCGATCTGATTTACTCGTAGTCACTCTTTTTGGCTCAGAGATTTGCAGGTTCCCGTAAACTCGGAGTCACTCTTTTGTGTCTGAAAAATTTATCAATCACTCGGAGTCACTCTTTTTGGCTGGGAGAGTCCCGCAGAATGAGAGTCACTCTGAAAAATTTATCATCCACTCAATCATCCAAGTTTTGCTCTTTGCGAATACTCAATAATCACAGGAATTTGCATATTCATCATTGTCTGTATTACATCTTTTTATTTTATAGGGCATTCTTTTCTTGTAAAATAATAACCTATAAATTACTTTCTTCATTATTTTTAGTATCTTTCTATGTGCAAATTTCAGAAATCCTCATTACCTCAAGATAAAAATCCCCCACCAACTAGTCCGTCCAGATATCACAAAATAATGGTCGCCATGTTGTTTTCGTATGTCGGCACACAATGTGTTTTGCCCTACTCTCATGGTATAACTAAGGTAAGTCAATTATTTTGGTGTTTGGGTTATGTTTTGTACATGGGTTTTTAGGGGTTGGGGGAGGGGGGGTGTATTACTATTCAATTATCTGTCTGACATATATAAAAGATCCCATGTGATTTGCCATATTGTATATAGAGGATATTGCAGGAGTATAGATTTAATACTTGATTTATTGAACTCGTATTGGACTCCAATAATATGAATTTTAATTCAACTCATTAATAAATTAATTGAGTATTGAATTTACACAAATAAAATAATCTATTTATCACATATCCAAAATAAGAAAGGGTTACAGTTAAAAAGAGTCATTTTGCATTGACATGCCTAGTAGTGTGTAATACTAACATTAGTGGGTTTTACGCTATGTTTGTATAAAACACAAATGACAAGTTCAAGAGGCTAGCTTTATAACAATTGCTTAAAAAGAGTTAAAAACTTTTCTTATTTCATATGACAATGTATTAAGTTTTTTTTTCATGGGATTAAACTCATTGAAATAAATGAAAACAAATTGTTTAAATTTTAAAGGTGTTCTAAGGTAAGTCAATTGTTTTGGTGCCTGGGCTCTGTTTTCTATGTGGATGGGGTGTATGGGTTCTGTTTTATAGATAGATGTGGGGAAAGGGCTCTGATTTGCAGGTGGATGTGGTGTAAGGGTTCTGTTTTATAGATGGATGTGGTGTAAGGGTTCTGTTTTATAGATGGATGGGGTGTAAGGGTTCTGCTTTATAGATGGATGTGGTGTAAGGGTTCTGCTTTATAGATGGATGGGGTGTATGGGTTCTGTTTTATAGATGGATGTGGTGTAAGGGTTCTGATTTGTGGGTGTATGGGTTCTGTTTTATAGATGGATGTGGTGTAAGGGTTCTGATTTGTGGGTGTATGGGGTGTATGGGTTCTGTTTTATAGATGAATGTGGTGTAAGGGTTCTGATTTGTAGGTGTATTGGGTGTTTGGGTTCTGTTTTATAGATGGGTTGGATGTATAGGTTCTGATTTTCTAGGTGTATGGGGTGTATGGGTTCTGTTTTATAGATGGGTGGGATGTATGGGTTCTGATTTGTAGGTGTATGTGTTATGTCTTCCTACTGAGGTTATCTAAACCCGTCTTGTACCTCCCCAGGATGACATCTTGTTGCCATTACAAATTAAGTTGTAAATTCATAGGCTACTTTAAGATAAAAATGCTTAATGTAAATAATTTATATGTGCAAGAAAAAGAATCATTGGTCAACACAGACGCCAATATCTAGCTCTCGGGTAACTGTTTAGGGGAAACTTTGCAGAGCCATATTACTGTCATAAACAGTTTCCTTCCAGCTAGCTATGCCGGTCTGTACCAGCAGTTGTTGTAAAATCCTGATAATCTAACACATGCGTTATAAAAAGAAATACATGTACATAATAGTTATATAACAGGGAAAACAATTAAGTGATGTCATGTGATAATAACAGTAGTACAACAAAAGGGTTAAAAAGAATGTAAATGGTAAAAGAAAAAAAAAATGTTTTTTTTTTTCATGACAGGTTGTAAATGAGTGGATTTTGAAAGCACATTTGAATTTTGCATGAATTTTAGGTTATTTGACATTTAAGCAGGCTAAGACCATTGAACACATGACTTGTATGGATACATGTTTTAATATATGGTTATAGCTGTTGGCCACAGGGCTTGTTAGTCCCCTACCGGTTTACCGGAGGGGACTTTAGGTTTACCCTCCGTCCGTCTGTCCGTCCGTCAGTCCGTCCGTCTGTCTGTCCGTCCGTCCGTCAGTCCGTCCGTCCACAAAACTGGATCCCGCGATAACGCAAAAAGTACTGAAAATATTTTAATGAAACTTGATATATGGATAGATGGCAGTATGGAGATTATGCACGTCTTTTTCTTTTCTTCCTATGTTGAAAATTCTGGTTGCTATGGCAACAAATAGACTGAAAATATGGCAAATTTTACACATAACCTGGATCCCGCGATAACGCAAAAAGTACTGAAAATATTTTTATGAAACTTGATATATGGATAGATGGCAGTATGGAGATTATGCATGTCTTTTTCTTTTCTTCCTATGTTGAAAATTCTGGTTGCTATGGCAACAAATAGACTGAAAATATGGCAAATTTTACACATAACTTGGATCCAGTGATAACACAAAAAGTACTGAAAAATATGTTTATGAAACTTGACATATGGGTAGATGGCAGTATGGAAATTATGCACATCCTTTTTTATCTTCCTATGTTGAAAATTCTGGTTGCTATGGCAACAAATAGACTGAATTTCAAGATTTCTGATTCTAGTTTTTAAGTTTTTTCACTATAAGTTCTTTATTTCTTAAGGTATTTTCTTCAAACTTTAAATATAAGTTGCTTGTCATCAACCACATCATATGTGACAAGGTTTACAACTCTAGCACAAAATTTATCAGAATTACCTCCCTTGAACTTAAAATTTTCATGAAGAAAACATTGTTTTTTTTAATAACTTCTTTTTCTGAATGTATCTACCTCAAACTTCATATAAATGTTTCTTATTGTCACTCAACATTTGTGAGTGTTCAATACTATAGCAAGACTATTTCCAGAATTATGCCCCTTTTGAACTTAGACTTTTTTTTGAGAAATTGGTAATTTTTACTCCAACTTCTTCAATCATGATAGGATTTTAAAAATGTTATATTTTGATAACAGGGATGTTTAAAAAATAACTTTAGAGTGTCCTTCAGTCCGTCTGTCTGTACATAAAAACTGTTTCCTGTGATCACTTTTAAAGAACTTTTTCAACAAATTTACTTAAAATAGGAACCTAAGTGAATGGCCAATGGCCCTTCAGAATGTTGCTTGGGCTCTTACCGGTAGGGGACTTATGGATTGCTTGCAATACTATGATAATTGCTTGTTTATATTATTTAATGGTTATAATAGTTAGGCACAAAGATTGTATGGATATTTGTATTATTACAGGATTATAACCATTGGACACAGGGCTTGTATGGATATTTGTATCATTACTGGGTAATAAGCATCAGACACAGAACTTGTATGGATATTTGTATCATTACAGGATTATAACCATTGGATACAGGGCTTGTATGGATATTTGTATTATTACAGGATTATAACCATTGGACACAGGGCTTGTATGGATATTTGTATCATTACAGGAATATAATCATTGGACACAGGGCTTGTATGAATATTTGTATTATTACAGGGTTACAACCATTGGACACAGGGCTTGTATGGCTATTCCTGGGATATGATGGTACACACTTGGAATCTTCAACATCTTAAAATTACATATGTTGATAAACAAAGTGGGGAAGAAGGGTACCTGAATCCAAAGGTAACAGCATGCAATTTTCCCATATGTTGTTAGTATTGTTTTGTTGATGTAGTTTCTCTTGCTCAAACTCCTTTGTTACCAAACCCAATGTAAGATTGCATCCAAACCAATATGCTTTATTTACCAAGAGACGTGGGCATTTCAAAAAATAGACCAGTGCGATGACGTCACAGGAACAAGCATGGAAATTACCCGAAAATGTTTAACTATTTGTATTCTGCAATGTCATGATCTTTTATGCATCTCTTAAGACTTATTTCAGATTATCTAACTCATTTTATATAGGTACCATTTTGCTTTCACATGCATTTTGCTTTTTCTTGAGTCTTGGCTAAGATGAATGTCAACAGTATTCTAAGAAAACATTTGTCAAATCTCACTGAACTATTTCAAATTACCTCACCAATTTATAAAACATTATATGACTAGTGCCTCCTATTTTTAGCGATTTAGAGAAAGATTTGATTAATTTATTTGGTACTTAAAAGTCCTCAATAAGATCTATAAAAGTTTGTTATCAAACTAAAATTATACAACAAATGATTCCAAAATTTCATTCAAGTTTGATAATGGATTGATAATAGATAAGTTGACGCCGGTGACCCAGTGTAGTTTATATTTCTATAAATAGGTGAGACTTTGTGGGGACCCAAATTTGGCGCGAACTTAAATTAAATTAATTTCAGCCAAACTTCACAGGAATGTTCCTTTGATAGTCAACTTTAGAAATTGACCAAAGAATTTTTTCCATGCAGAACTCTAGTTGCCATGGCAACCGAAAGGAAAAACTTAAAAAATCTTCTTTTAAAAAACCAAAAGAGCTAGAGCTTAAATATTTGGCATGAAACATTGTCTAGTCAATGTTTACAAAGTTTGTTCAAATGAAACCCCTAAGGTCAAAATTGACCCCCGCCCCAGGGTGTCTTTGATTTTTCTTATATGCATATAGTAAAAACTTGTGGACAGTTCAATTTGCAGATAGGTCAAATGTTCGTTTTCCCTCTCTTTTTCTGTCATCTTAAAATTGTACTTCTGGGGTGAAAAGGCGCTACACTTTGACCTTTTGACCTATTTCTCAGGTGAGCAATCTCTTGGCCCTCTTTTTATTTTAAAAGTTTATACTTCTCCTATACTAAACAGGATTGATAGCTAGCTTAAGTACTTGCGGATATTAAATTCACGGCGGGTTTTCGGGTTGAACAATATTTTTTTCCAAAGCATAGGTTCTTACATTACTCTTGAATTTATTCTAGGCATGGGTTCTTGGTGGTCGCTGGAGTTCTCATCCAGACATGATTAAACAGTATGCTCATTGTGTTGAGGAAAGGCTAGCCACGTACAACATAACGGATATAGAGCTTCATGTTGATGTATGGAGGGCACTAAATGATAGATTTCAACAGAGGTAGGTACATTTACCAGTCTAAAGATGAGCCGTGTCACGACAAAACCAACATAGTGCGTTTGCGACCAGCATAGATCCAGACCAGCTTCCGCATACGCGCAGTCTGATCAGGATCCATGCTGTTCGCTTACCAACTCTATTTCAAGTAGAGAAACTGATAGCGAACAGCATGGATCCTGATCAGACTGCAGTGACCTTCGGTGGGAGAAAAGAAGAAAGGTCATTATAGACAGGGAGTCACTGTGGACAGTTTCTACATAATTTGGATATATGAACATATCATACCAATATTTTGTTGAAAAGCAGGATAGTACCATACTTAGGGTTTAATTATATTTTTTATTGATATTAAACACACCAAATATCATTTATAAAATACAAGACAGTATTAAAATTGCATGTATAATTGGTTTAGACTACACCATTACATTAGTATTTAAAAGTTGCATATTGATTAAAAATGTAATTTATATTGATAAATCTGTTTGTAAAAAAATGTTTAATTTCAATTTTACTAATGAGCTGTTAGAGATATTAATTTTGTATAATCAGCCTGTTTACTTTACGGAGTTCAATGTATTAATAAAATATAAGATACAAATCTTCACATAATTTCTACAGATAAGTGCTCCGGATAACATTTTAACAATCGAGGTTCGAACATAACCACACCTTTAAGACGTTGGGCATTGTTTATCTTTACTCGCAAAACACCGCAGCAATTATGTATATGCAGGTGTCTTTAATCATTCAATCTTTATTTCAAAAATTGATTGAATCTGTCGCCATTTTGTGTAATTGTCGCTATACAGGGGGTCACTAAGACAGTCTTTACTGTAGTCAGATACATTACAAAATGGCATCTGGAACCCACCTGGCGGGACACAAAATCTACTGCAGTGAGGAGCTTATGATTTAAAGACAAAAACCTAAACACTCAGCGGCAGACATTTTTCTTAAATCAACAGGAACATGTATATTTGAAACCAAGCAATAGATGATATGTCAATTGTCAAAATATACACAGTATTAAATTGATAAACAATTTTATGCAATTTTTGGATGATTTTAGTGAAAATTGTTGCAACGGTTTTCTTTTCTTTTTTTTTTTGGTCCAATATGCACAATAAAATTGATTGTATCTGGGAAACGGAGTGAGCAAATGATCTAAAAATTTGTACATGAGTTATTGGTTTAGACATACATCAAGTTATACAAAAATCTTGAAAAAATATTTTCAGTCCTTTCACATCAAAAAACCTCAGTTGAGTCCCTTTAAATACCAAAACAAAAAAATGAAATGAATAAGATAAAAATACAGAATTAAAACCAAAATTTTTTTAGTGATTTGAGTTAAATCTGTTTATGTGAAGAAAAATAAGTAAGACAAGATGACGGTATAAATCTGTTAATATTCACTAAAGTACTTAAGATAGGGCCTAAAAGTGATTCATTAACATATCTGTTTTAAGACAAAGGATGGAAAATTAATATCCGGACCCAGGCATTGTGTTAATCAATTATTAGAAATTATTCATTAGCGCATCTGTTTTAATACAAAGGATGGAAATTTAATATCCGGACCAAGGCATTGTGAATGTTAATCATTTATTAGAAATTATTCATTAGCGCACCTGTTTTAATACATAGGATGGAAATTTAATATCCGGACCATGGCATTGTTAGTGTTAATCATTCATGTCATGCAATTAGGGATTTTAAAATAATTTGGCATAAATCTTGAGGATGTGTCCAATCAAAAACACCATGGCTTTACCTCAAAGGCCAAGGACACACTTACAGTTTGAAGGTTCACATTCTCACAATGAAAGTTTTAAGGTACACATTTGTGTCCGGACTTGTTACATTGTCATGCATTGAAGGATTGTGCAAATACCAAAATCTTTAACATTCACAAAATTATTCATTTTACTCAGAAGTGAAGTTGACACTAGCTTGAATTTAATTTTCATAATTGTTGTTTTAAAAGTTGAGCATTGGTACTACATAAAGTGCCCAACACAAGGTGCTCTTGTTGTTTAATGTTTTTGATTAGTACTGAAGAATACAGTAAAGTTGCCTCCCTTTAATAACATCCAACATTTGTACTACACAGTGGAATATATTTTTTTTTAATATTTGATTTTTGGGGGTGGGGGACTCTGAATTGTGATTCTTTGAATAATCTTGTAATCTTGAGCTCGAGCATTCTCAAATAAATTACCAAATAACATTACACAATTCTGCAAAAAGCTGAAAAAATAACTGATGAGGATGCTTATGAATGCAAGTATCAATTTGAATGGTGGTAGAATGGCAAAAGCCTTAACATAGTCTTACTGTAATGCTTTCCCGCCCCCAAAAAATGCTAACATCGGCCAATATCGTAATAAATTGGTCATTTCCTGAATGTTATTTTTCACAATTTTTGGTATTCACTAATTTTTATAACCGGAATTTAGTACATAGGGATAAGGATGAGTGATTGTAAATGATCTAATGCCCAAGATTTTGAAAAAAATAATGTTTTGGAAATAACTGAGTTGCTAAAATAATGGACGATGTTATGATTTTTTTTGGCAGGAAAGCATTACAGTAAGACTACCTTAATATAGAGAAAACAAGAGGATGATACTGGGAGAGGAAAGCCTGAAATTATTAACTTGAAAATAAATGAGCCGCGTCACGACAAAACCAACATAATGGGTTTGCGACCAGCATGAATCCAGACCAGCCTGCGCATCCGCGCAGTCTGATCAGGATCCATGCTGTTCGCTAACAAACCCTATAACATGTAGGGAAACTGATAGCGAACAGCATGGATCCTTATCAGATTGCTCGGATGCGCAGGCTGGTCTGGATCCATGCTGGTGGCAAACCCATTATATTGGTTTTGTCTTGACGCGGCTCAAATGATAAGCACCAATAGATTTCTTGTCTGTAACTAGGAACTCCATTGTCAGAGGTTTGGCAATCAGAAACATCTGCACTGTTGGAAGTTGATCAATCTTAGGAAAACATTAGATTCTGGTAAAAAGACATCTCGAGAATTTAGTTTTGCAACACAGGAAGTGCCGAGAAATTTACTGGACTGACATTGTTGATGTCATTTTTTGTAATCTAAGCACCCCGTGACATATTTGTATACCATACACAGGTTCTTTTATACTACCCGTGTCTTATCACAGCATGGGGGAGTATACATCTTTGTCACAGATATTCTGATGTTTAGGAATAATTTCTGAAATTTATTTGTTCATCAGTTTCAAAAATTGATTTATTTTCAGATCTGTTGATCCTCGTGTAAACCTACTTGAAGCGCCATGGGGAGTTTTTACTGAAACTCCATGGATCTTACCATTGTTAGTTGACCTCTCTGACTGGAGGGGCAAACTTAGCGAGATTGAAAAAGATATATTTGAACGTGATAGTGACACAGATGTTGTTTTTGTTGCAGATTTTCCTGGTAATTAACTTCATTTTTATATACACTTGTTGATGGTAATTACTTGCTTTTTAACCATGTCATTGTAGATATTTGTTATTCAAATTTAACTGACTCGATCAATTTTGAATATTGAGGCAGTCATTCTTGGTTTTTATCTCAAAGTCACGAACGTACAACAAACACTGTTTTATAAGCTGTGAGGCAGCCCAAAATACTTTTTAGGCTGTCATTTTGGCCTCCAGCCAAGTTTTTATGACAACCCTGAACTTTTATATCTTGTATGTTTTTTTTTAACTTACAAGATTGGATTAAAGTAAAAGGCAAAGTGTTACATGAGTCCCTTTACCTGCTGAATGTCTGTATATTTATTCTACTTGCATTTTTGAAACTTTCCATTATTAATAAAATGAATATCAAGATAAAAAATTGAATATAGTGTAGGGTCTGGTCAGACTACACGGATGTGCGGTCTGGCCTGGCTCTATTCTGGTTGCAATGGCTGATCACTTTTTGGTATGGCTTGAAGGGGAAAAGGAAGTAAATACAGTACATGTACTACTTCTTACCTTCCCTGTCTAATTATAAATCAAGGGAGAGTAATCTATTACTCCCTTTCAAAAGTAGCAGTTTCTTCCCTTTTATTTCTTGTACAGTTTCTTGTACAGAATGTTACAGTATTTACATCATCAAATGGCTGACCAGAATTTGTTTTTACGGCTGTAGAATTTTAGAATTTAATATTAAAGTATCTTATTCATAGCAGTACATTAGGAGCATCTGTGGCAGAATGTTTATGGTCATTGACTGCAAACCACTTGCCCCACACTGCTGTGGGTTCGAATCCTGACAGGGACTTTGAATTATTTCATGTGAGGAAGCTCTCAAGCTAGCTTATGGAATGTTAGTGGTTCCTATCAGGTACCTGTTTGTGCCTGAAATAATGCATGAAGGGGCACCTCAGGTCTTCCACCACCAGTAAAATTCATAATTACCAAAATCAGCCATGTTGAATTATGGCAGTTTGTTAAAATTATACTATATTATATAAATAAAATAAGAAGAGAGATTGATGATTTATTTTTGTATAAAAAAAGTCTTCCTATCTTGTTTTTTTAATCAGGACTATATCTTGAAAATTACGTACAAGAGGACCTGGGAAACACAAGTATTACAGTGTTAAAGGGAGAGGTTCTTGTTGAGCTTGTGGATCGACAGAAAAATGTTACACTGCAAGAGGGTAAAAAAATGCAGGTACATATTACATATTAATTATTAAATGCTTTCTTTGAAGTATGAATAAAAAAGCAAGTACTTTCTAATAACAATAAGTTAAAAAATGAAGGTTCTTTCTTTAAATTTCTGATAATTTGTGATATTTTGGAAGGCTGGTGTCTGCTTAGAAGCTGTAGGATAAATTTGCATTTAAATTTCAATATTTTAATTCTTAAATCCATTAGCCAAAGCTAAAGATAGCAAAATTTTGTCCAGCTTTCACAAGTCAAGATGCTGATGGCATTTCAATAAAAACAGCACAGGAGTGTTCAGTACCATCCCTAGTTGTGCATAATGTCAGCATGTTTCACTTCGCTGCACAAAATGAATGCCAGAGCTAAAAATAGAAAAGTCCTGTCCTGCTATCACAGGTCAAACTGCTGGCAGGTTTCCACCAAAATTCACAGGATACATAATTTTGGGACATTATGTTTTTGTGACAAAATCCCTTCATAGTTTCACTATCAGTTGTAAAGACTTTTGACAGGTTATATGGCCTAGAAGAAAATGGTTATAAGCTTATATTATTGAAACAGCTTGGTGATATGGCAACAAAGTAGCCTCTTTTCTGGGGTGCCAGCAAAGCCAAAGTACAACAAAGTTTTCACTTTGTCCTATTGTCATGTTTTTATTTAGCCTTCTGCAAAGTAAAAATATGACAAAGCAGAAATCAATCACCATATGGTGATCTAAATTATGGTTTGTATAGCAAATAACCGTAAATCCAGTAAAACCCTTTACCCACTTAAGCTTTAGAATGGAATTGTCCAGGTTCTTTTTTTGAACAGTCCATTATTAATTTTTTCAGATATTAAAATGAAAATTTATTTTAAATCAGTCAGTAGTGTCGTGCCTGGTCAGACAGCATACATGAAGATACTATAGGCCTTATTGACTTTGTGGTAGAAGCAAAGGTAGAAGCAAAGGCAAATCAATTTCGGCTTGCAAATGTTTATAAAATGGGTACGGGTATTACATATTAATCATTTGAATTAAATTTGTTCATAAATTAGAAGCAGTTGTTGTTATAGGTAATCACTACTGTCTGATGAAAACTAGCAGTGCGTTTTTAGCTTGACATTTTAAAGAATTTATGGCAAGATATTGTACTCATCCAGGTGTTTGCAGCACCATCACACCATGGTTACGTTAATGCATGCAAGTAGGTATCTCTAAAATTGCTGAAGGAAATGGGTTGAAACTTCAGACAGTTGTTCATTGTGATATTATCTTTCATGATGGGCACATGTCCTGTAACTCAGTTACCTTTAAAAAGAGTTACTTCCCTTTTTAGCTCACCTGAGCTTGCTCAGGGTGAGCTATTAGGATCGGTGAATGTCCGTCGTCCGTCGTACGTCCACAATTGCTTGTAAACACACTAGTCCTCAGACTTATGACTCAATCATCATCAAACTTTGTCAGGATGCTTGTTTAGTCAATTGCTCAGATGAGTTCGAAACTGGGTCATTTCGGATGGAAAACTAGGTCAAAGGAGCTAAAAATAGAAAAACCTTGTGAACACTCTAGTGGTCACATTTTTGACCCAATCATCATCAACCTTTGTCAGAATGCTTGTTTAGATTATTGCTTGGATGAGTTCGAACATGGGTCATCTCCGATGAAAATCTAGGTCACAGGAGCTATAAATAGAAAAACCTTTTGAACACTCTAGTGGTCACATTTTTTACCTAATCATAACTTTGTCAGGATGCTTGTTTAGATAATTGCTTTGATGAGTTTGCACATGGTTTATCTCCGATGAAAAACTAGGTCACAGGAGCTATAAATAGAAAAACCTTGTGAACACTCTAGTGGTCACATTTTTGACCCAATTATTAAGAAACCTTGTCAGGATGCTTGTTTAGTCAATTGTTTGGATGAGTTCGAACATGGGTTATCTCGGGTGGAAAACTAGGTCACAGGAGCTAAAAATTGAAAAACCTTGCGAACAGTCTAGTGGTCACATTTTTGACCCAATCATCATCAAACTTTGTCAGAATGCTTGTCTAGTCGATGCTTGGATAAGTTTGAACATGATTTATCTCGGATGGAAAACTAGGTCACAGGAGCTAAAAATAGAAAAACCCTGTGAACACTCTAGTGTCACATTTTTGACTCAATTATCATCAAACTTGGTCAGGATGCTTGTCTAGGTAATTGCTCGAATGTCAAGCTTGAATATGGGTCACCTGGGGTCAAAAACTAGGTCACACTGCTCAAATATGGAAAATCCTTGTTAACACTAGTGGTCACATTTTTGACACACCTGTCATGAAACTTGGTCAGAACGCTTGTCTAGGTAATTGTGCGGATGAGTTTGACGGGTCAGGTGAGCGATCTAGGGCCATCTTGGCCCTCTTGTTTTACTGTTCAGCTCTGAGAATTGTTGTGGGTGCTGTCCATAAACAGCTCTTATTTTTTTAACAAACTTGCATTATTATTAAGTTTAGAAAATAAAACTATGATCAAGAGTTTTAAGAGATGAAAGACTGTTGTTCTTTCGAAGAACTGGTCATTTTTATACAGAGTAAAATTGTTGCCTGTTCTGTGAAATAAAAAAGAATTAAAAAGAAAAGATAAAAAATGGATGTGGATGTAATTGTTTGTCAACATCTTGCAAGTATGGCTAATAAGTTAATAACATGTTGCTGTTCCTTTGGTTATTGATCTATCGGCCATCTTTTTTTGTTTGTCATCATTATATAATATCATGTAATATTTAGAAAAGACTAAAGCTATACCATTTTTCTCAACAAATAAGTTTTCTTTGTCATCAATATAACATAATTATGATGCCTGTATTCACTTAGAGTATATCTTTATATGGCCGCTATACATGTCTAAATTACATTGAAGATAAAAAAAAATTCTATGCACTTTAAATTAAAACCCCTTGTTTTATACATAAAACTATATAGGATACTGAAAAAATATATTTTTTGAACCCATGGTGAATAAAGTAATGAAACTACACAAATATAATAGAAGATTATTGTATTTATCACATTGCCAAAATAACAATTTTCAGTCAAAAAGAATCACTTAAATAGACACACTTATATTGATTTACCATCATTTTAGACCCATTTCTTTATGTTTGGTGAAAATAATTCACTCTACTTTATGTAAAGGGAAAAAGTCACTTTTCTCCTGTTTTCTTGTCTAGTTTGAACACTGGATTAAATTGTCAGAGGACTATAAGATATTATTACAAGGAAACAGACTTTCTTTAAGTATTCTGTGTAAGTGATGTATAAAACATGCTTGCATAAACACCATGATAACAGTTTATTACACATATTCTATTCTAAAAGCTATTGAATTCAAAATATCGATGTATCATTGATATTCAGCTTTAGGTATATCAATACAAAATCCTCCCGCTGCAATGACGGCCCGAATTGTTATGTCTCAAAAATAGCAAAATGTTTGGTGGTCACATTCATACCATACCTTGAGTGTTGAACTTGAACTGTTATTTGTGTTGCATTACTTGGGAAGTTAATTATTGTCTGCTTACATTTCAGTTACCTGCGCATGAGTTTCACAACATTCATACAGTGTCGAATACCCCCTCGTGCTACATGTATATATTTGTTAATACAACAGATGTAGAGTTCAAACAAATGGTCTCAAAATATGAACAGATAATGAATGGAACCTTCAAGGGATCAGGTAAATACAGTAATGATTACAGTGTAACTTCGGAATTCCGGAACTTCTAAAATCCTGAAACATCTGAAATCTGATTATTTTTCAGGGTCCCAAAATTTCTCCTTTTGTTTTCTATGTAATGAAAACCTGTGAATTACGAACTTCTTAATTCTGAATTCGAACTTTTTTGGCTAGTCCCACAGGTGTTGGGTTTACAGAGGTTACACTGTACATTAAAATCAGTATAATTATGTATTGTCAGAAAATATAAATCTGCCCATTTTGCATACATTATCTGGTGGTGGATGGTTGTTTGCAATATTTAAAGCATTATCACTAAGCATGAAAATTGTCATTACCACAAAATTTTGGCTAACCTCTGGTGTTACAAACTTAAAGCAACACCTCACCTGCTGGAACTAAGAGATGCATAGATTCCAGTGATTCTGACCCATTTATTCAGCACTTTTCAGACCCATTTAGTCGGCACTTATGATTATGCAAGGTTAAACGGTGGCTGCAATTCTGGTGCCACAAACCATTTAGTCAACCCCCTCTGTCACAAGGGGCAAAATAGTATGTTCAAGCCACATATAATGTATATAGGCAACCCCTCTGCCACAAGGGGCAAAATAGTATGTTCAAGTCACATATAATGTATCAAAATGGATAGGTTAAAATTTTCTGACCATACTTCTACTGATAATAATTGGGCAGTTTTGATGTTTGATTAAATATCATAGTGATTCTAATTGAAATCCTTTCTACAGATATTTAATGGCACTTTTTATGACCAGGCAAATACCATAGTGATTCTAATTGATGTCCTATCTACAGATATTTAATGGCACCTTCTTGTGACCAGAAAAATACCTTAGTGATTCTAATGGATGTCCTTTCTACAGATATTTAATGGCACCTTCTTGTGACCAGGCAAAATTCCATAGTGATTCTAATTGATATCCTTTATACAGATATTTGATGGCACATTTTTATGACCAGGAAAATACCATAGTGATTCTAATGGATGTCCTTTCTACAGATACTTAATGACCAGGAAAATACCATAGTGATTCTAATGGATGTCCTTTCTACAGATACTTAATGACCAGGAAAATACCATAGTGATTCCAATTGATGTCCTCTCTACAGATATTTAATGGCATCTTCTTGTGACCAGGCAAATACCATAGTGATTCTAATGGATGTCCTTTCTACAGATATTTAATGGCATCTTCTTGTGACCAGGCAAATGCCATAGTGATTCTAATGGATGTCCTTTCTACAGATATTTAATGGCATCTTCTTGTGACCAGGCAAATACCATAGTAATTCTAATTAATGTTCTTTCTAAAGATATTTAATGGCATCTTCTTATGACCAGGCAAATGCCATAGTGATTCTAATGGATGTCCTTTCTACAGATATTTAATGGCATCTTCTTGTGACCAGGCAAATGCCATAGTGATTCTAATGGATGTCCTTTCTACAGATATTTAATGGCATCTTCTTGTGACCAGGCAAATACCATAGTGATTCTAATGGATGTCCTTTCTACAGATATTTAATGGCATCTTCTTGTGACCAGGCAAATACCATAGTGATTCTAATTGATGTCCTTACTACAGATATTTAATGGCATCTTCTTGTGACCAGGCAAATGCCATAGTGATTCTAATTGATGTCCTCTCTACAGATATTTAATGGCACATTTTTATGACCAGGCAAATACCATAGTGATTCTAATGGATGTCCTTTCTACAGATATTTAATGGCATCTTCTTGTGACCAGGCAAATGCCATAGTGATTCTAATGGATGTCCTTTCTACAGATATTTAATGGCATCTTCTTGTGACCAGGCAAATACCATAGTGATTCTAATTGATATCCTTTATACAGATATTTAATGGCACATTTTTATGACCAGGAAAATACCATAGTGATTCTAATTGATGTCCTCTCTACAGATATTTAATGGCATCTTCTTGTGACCAGGCAAATGCCATAGTGATTCTAATGGATGTCCTTTCTACAGATATCTAATGGCATCTTCTTGTGACCAGGCAAATATTATAGTGATTCTAATTGATGTCCTCTCTACAGATATTTAATGGCACCTTCTTGTGACCAGGCAAATGTCATAGTGATTCTAATGGATGTCCTTTCTACAGATATTTAATGGCATCTTCTTGTGACCAGGCAAATGCCATAGTGATTCTAATGGATGTCCTTTCTACAGATATTTAATGGCATCTTCTTGTGACCAGGCAAATGCCATAGTGATTCTAATTGATGTCCTTTCTACAGATATTTAATGGCATCTTCTTGTGACCAGGCAAATACCATAGTGATTCTAATGGATGTCCTTTCTACAGATATTTAATGGCATCTTCTTGTGACCAGGCAAATGCCATAGTGATTCTAATTGATGTCCTTACTACAGATATTTAATGGCATCTTCTTGTGACCAGGCAAATGCCATAGTGATTCTAATTGATGTCCTCTCTACAGATATTTAATGGCACATTTTTATGACCAGGCAAATACCATAGTGATTCTAATGGATGTCCTTTCTACAGATATTTAATGGCATCTTCTTGTGACCAGGCAAATGCCATAGTGATTCTAATGGATGTCCTTTCTACAGATATTTAATGGCATCTTCTTGTGACCAGGCAAATGCCATAGTGATTCTAATTGATGTCCTTACTACAGATATTTAATGGCATCTTCTTGTGACCAGGCAAATACCATAGTGATTCTAATTGATGTCCTTTCTACAGATATTTAATGGCATCTTCTTGTGACCAGGCAAATGCCATAGTGATTCTAATTGATGTCCTTACTACAGATATTTAATGGCATCTTCTTGTGACTAGGCAAATGCCATAGTGATTCTAATTGATGTCCTCTCTACAGATATTTAATGGCACATTTTTATGACCAGGCAAATACCATAGTGATTCTAATGGATGTCCTTTCTACAGATATTTAATGGCATCTTCTTGTGACCAGGCAAATGCCATAGTGATTCTAATGGATGTCCTTTCTACAGATTTTTAATGGCATCTTCTTGTGACCAGGCAAATACCATAGTGATTCTAATGGATGTCCTTTCTAGATGTCCTTTCTACAGATATTTAATGGCATCTTCTTGTGACCAGGCAAATGCCATAGTGATTCTAATGGATGTCCTTTCTACAGATATTTAATGGCATCTTCTTGTGACCAGGCAAATACCATAGTGATTCTAATGGATGTCCTTTCTACAGATATTTAATGGCATCTTCTTGTGACCAGGCAAATACCATAGTGATTCTAATTGATGTCCTTACTACAGATATTTAATGGCATCTTCTTGTGACCAGGCAAATGCCATAGTGATTCTAATTGATGTCCTCTCTACAGATATTTAATGGCACATTTTAATGAACAGGCAAATACCATAGTGATTCTAATTGATGTCCTTTCTACAGATATTTAATGGCACCTTCTTATGACCAGGCAAATACCATAGTGATTCTAATGGATGTCCTTTCTACAGATATTTAATGGCATCTTCTTGTGACCAGGCAAATACCATAGTGATTCTAATGGATGTCCTTACTACAGATATTTAATGGCATCTTCTTGTGACCAGGCAAATGCCATAGTGATTCTAATGGATGTCCTTTCTACAGATATTTAATGGCATCTTCTTGTGACCAGGCAAATACCATAGTGATTCTAATTGATGTCCTTTCTACAGATATTTAATGGCACCTTCTTATGACCAGGCAAATACCATAGTAATTCTAATTGATGTCCTTTCTACAGATATTTAATGGCACCTTCTTATGACCAGGCAAATACCATAGTAATTCTAATTGAAATCCTTTCTACAGATATTTAATGGCACCTTCTTATGACCAGGCAAATACAATAGTAATTCTAATTGAAATCCTTTCTACAGATATTTAATGGCACCTTCTTATGACCAGGCAAATGCCATAGTGATTCTAATGGATGTCCTTTCTACAGATATTTAATGTCACCTTCTTATGACCAGGCAAATACCATAGTGATTCTAATGGATGTCCTTTCTACAGATATTTAATGGCATCTTCTTGTGACCAGGCAAATGCCATAGTGATTCTAATGGATGTCCTCTCTACAGATATTTAATGTCACCTTCTTATGACCAGGCAAATGCCATAGTGATTCTATTTGATGACTATTTTCAAATCCTCCAAACTTGTTTCTTAGCTCATTAGAAGAAAAATGCTCATAAGAGTTTTTGTAATAGCATTATGTCCCACAGTCATGATTCTGTTTTGCATTATTGTCCGCAACTTCTTAAGGTAGTACACCTCTTATGCATTATTTCACTTTGAAGAGTATTCAAATAGGCTAGAATCACTGTCAAGTGCATTGAAACTGAGGGGTGTGGGTTCATTAACCCCAGAAGGGGAACTTTTTTTTTCTTTTTTTTTACTTTTTAACATTTTTTATGTTTCTCTCAGATCCCTTATGGAAGAAAAAAGTCTTTGATTTTAATTACATAATTATAATAGGTATTTATTTGCTAAAAAATACCAAATTTAATGGCAAAAATGATACCAGATATTTTCAAAGTTTAATAAAATAAAAACTACACGGTAAAAGTATTTTATATTTTGCAAGACCAACCAGTATACATGTAAGAAAATTTATACAAACTTTGAACACAGCCCCTCATTTTGGTAAACTTTAGGGATATTTTGAATAAGGCTTTTTACATAGGGAAATGGTCAAATAAGTGTTTAAAGTGGGTGGGGTACGTTACATTTTTATACATATTTAAAACATTTTGTTTAGAAACAATAATTTTGCTCATTTAATTTGTTACCTGAATGTCATTATTTGTTCTTAACAATAAGCAATAGGAAAACATGTCCCATAATGATGATTTTATAGATTATTTAGAGTTTCCTCTGAAAAAAGCCCTTCTAATGGCAAAATTTTAGTTCAGAAAAATGTCCATAACTCATAAACCACACGTTAAATTTTGTTTAAATTTTGCATACAGGTGACATTTAAGGCATATTGTCAATTTTACAGTTTCTTATAGTGCCCGTTAGGGGTGTGCTACCTTAAAACAACATCTCCCCCTGAATGTCTCGCAGTTTATAAAGACTTTTATAATACTACAAGTTTGTAGTATGGCTTTTTATTGGATAATAGTAATATTTACATGTATATAAAGTATACATATATATGGCTGCTGTTGGTTTATGAAGTAATTTCATATTTTTCACATATAAAGGAAGTTTGCTGTATTGTAAGTTTGCAAACAACCATGTAACCTCTCAAAAAATCTTTTTAACTAATAATATAGAAAAACAAGTATGTCTGTATGTAGAAAAACTGCTTTGCTCAGAGCATTGATATTTGGCATGTAGCATTTCCTAGTGGACTTCTAGAAAAGCTATCTGAATTATCCATTAAACTACCTGCTTTTATATTAAAGAATATTATGACATTTACTAGCAGTAGATCTGAGGTGAGTGATCTATGGCCATGATGGTCCTCTTGTTTAGTTCCTAGTATTCAATGGTTTCTTCATTATTGTAATTCTCCTTAGAGAAACTAATTTGAAAATTTCAAATCAATGAAAAAATAAATTGTTCCTTTGAAAAGAATTCTCTGTTTAAATCAGTTTATAATTGGAAATTGAAAAGTATTTTTAGAGAAATTTAGGGTAATATCTTGTATGATTCATGATCGTATTACAGTATTTCTTAGAATTTGCCGACTCGGCAGTCATATTGTAATAGATGATGACTCAGGTTTACAATTTTGCTGACTCTGCACATTTATTGATCTGCAATGTCGCTCGGTGATTGTGTGTCTCGTATAAAGCAGCATGCCTATAGATGAGTTAGCAAATTTACAAATTGAAGGAAAGTAAAGAATGTATTTACTCTTAACCTGCTGAATTTGTGAAATGGACTTGCCCAGCTTTGAATTTGGATCAGTCCATTTAAACTTTTAGGGATTTCAATAGCAAAATACAAAAACGTGTGCTTCCAACACAGTAAAGAGCCTGGTCAGAGTGCATATGTCTATATGCACTCAGGTCTAGTTGTGTACTTGTGGCAAACGCTTGTTAATTTCCGGAGAATATAAATATATTCCTAATCCAAGTATGTTTTGCTTGTTATATGCAAAATATGACCTAAATTAAAGTAACTATTTTATACCAAAAAATGTACCCAGTTACTGATGGAGTCAGGTCTGTTTCTACTTATTATGATATGTTTTTTGGCAATTTCTCTGGAAAGAAAATGCCTTAAGATGAATTGAATCACAGTTGATATGTCCCTTTTAACATTTTAAACAGTTTTATCTCCAATTTTTCAGTTAAAAAAGTGGTATACATGTTAATTGTCATAAAAGAAAATCATTTCAAAAAGGCAGATAACTCCTAAAAAAAAAATGTATTGTTATGCCCCTTTTTTGTGTTGCTGCTATGGAGCTGTCTGCTGGCAGGTCTTGCTTTAAATGAAAATTAGGATGAATCTGGTATCATCTTGCTTTAACTGAATGTACTGGTTTGTGTGACTCAGAGGTTTGTGAACAATTTCATAGACAATGAATGGAAATAGATAGTTTCTCATGCAATTGACCTACATAAGATTTTAGAATAAAGCAAAAATGAATGAGATATAATGTTCATGTTATAATTCTTGTTTCTGTAGAAATAGGGTTTATATAACAGGGAGGCATTTTCTGTTGTTGTTCTTGATGTTGTAATGGTCTTTTTTCAAATTAAATGCAGAAGTATATTTTGTTTAAAAAAAATACTAATAGAATAGGTCTACTTCTTATTTTCATTGTCTTATGTGTCAGCACTGCAGATGTGATAATTCTGACCTTATTTCTAACGTAATATCACCAGGCTTCAGTGACATAGTGAGTTGAGGTTACTGATATTAAATCTCTTACTATAACTAACCATTGTGAGTCTGAATCTCGTGAATTCCTTATCCAGTCTCATGTGAGGAAGTTATCCATTCATGTAAGCAAGTTGTCCAGTCATGTAGGGAAAGATATTTATTCATGTGAGGAAGTTATCTGGTCATGTGAGCAAGTTGTCCAGTCATGTAGGGAAAGGTATCAAGTCATGTGAGGAATGATCCAGTCATGTGGAAAGTTGCCGTGTTTTCTATGTAGTAACAGTATGATCTCAAACAAAAAAGAAAGGGAAAATTGTTAAGTGCTATGTTTGATAAAAGTAGACCTTACCTGCAAGTCAATCTTTTCATTAACAGCTTATAAAGCCTTTAAAATGCTTTTTCTCAAATGAGCCGTGTAATGACAAAACCAATGTAATACGTTTGCGACCAGCATGGATCCAGACCAGCCTGCGCATCTGCGCAGTCTGATCAGGATCCATGCTGTTCGCTTACAAACCCTATGACGTAGAGAAACTGATAGCGAACAGCAAGGATCCTGATCAGACTGCGCACTGATGCGCAGGCTGGTCTGGATCCATGCTGGTCACAAACCCATTATGTTGGTTTTGTAATGGCATGGCTCAATTTTGTTTCTTTTGCTTTTTGGCAATTTGTACAGTTGAAGCGAATTAGTATTTTGTATGGAATTTCAAAACAAAACAAAAATCATTTTGTTTATGTTTGCTTTTAATTCATTATTTAAACAATATAAGATATATATTTTCACCTAGAAAACAATGTATTTATTTCTGAGGCATATAATGTGCCTTTATCTAAAAATTTATATAAGTTACTTGCAGATGACTTAAAGGAAATTGGTCTATAATGGAAGGCCTGTACATACATATTACCATAAATTATAGTATTTAGTTTGTGGAATGTTGGTTGTTCTACTAAGGTGCCCGTTTCAGCCAGAAATATCATACAGAGGGGCACCTGAGGTCCGCCACCAGTAAAACTGGAAAGTCATCATATGACCTATACTGTGTTGATGCGACGAGAAATTCCAGTTTAAAAAAAAAAATGTATTCAGTATCATACATGAAAACAAACCATGAAAAACATTATTATTCATCATATAAATGTTCAAACTAAATCACTTAAAACTCAATCAACCTTTTAAAGAAATATCTTAATAAGAATATCCAAATGATACATTTCTATTGTTTTTATCAATATTTGAAGCCCATTGTAGACCAATCCACTTTAATCTTAATTTTGAGAGCAGACGACAATGAAATTGTCATAGTAACCATTGTAAGCAATGGTATTGATAGGATTTCCTGCAGCAGAAATAAAGTTTTAATATTGATATTTCATTCTTTTATCAAGCAAAGTTAAGAAAATTTATGAGATATGCATTTAATGTCATCATAATATTATATCCAAGTTTATATTTTATCTATTATCCTTAACTGAAAACAATCAGTCCTAAATTCCTAACCCTAAACATTTACACATTTTAGAAACAGACACAAATGCTGAAAACAAGTATCAAACGTTTGCACTTTGTGTGCAAGTATTTAAGGCTAATTTGGTTGCTCCACAAAAGGAAATTGGAGAACTTTGAAAATTTACCAAATAAAGAATATTATTTTGGTCAGAGACAAAATAGTTATTATTGGAAGATTTAGGTGAAATTCCAAGTCTAATGTGATATTCAAATGACCTCAGTGATGATCACGTCAGCCATAATCAAAGTCTTGTCTGGATGGCATCATCATACAATAATTGTATTTGATAAAAATACAATTTTCAATTTACTTCTGAGTATATTTCTTAATTCATATTTTCTGTTTTTAGTGCCATTGCTGATCTATGTGAGAATTTCAAATTTATATTTTAGGTTTTTTGACCCTATAAGCATGGGAAGGGTTAATTTATAACAGCTTAATTTATCTATTTGTAGATAAGGAAGCTGTAAGAATCAAGCATGAGGTTGAAGTCGGTGCCAATCACCATCTGTTTGCTCAATATATCAGCGAGAAGGAGAGGACGGAGGAAGAACAACGAATGTCATACATTCAAAAGTGGCGGAACTTTGTCTCGTATAAATACAGCATGCTGTCAAGAAGGTATCTTTAAATGTTTTACTAAAACGTTCTGGCCCTATGTTCTTTAAAAAAAGATATGGATCAAATGATCAATCCTGGTTTTATTTTCATTGTTATATAAATTTTAAACTGGAATTGATTGCATTTTGCTAGAATTAAATGGTACATAAACAAAATGTAAGACATAGCTGAATTGCACAGAAAAAACACTGTTTTGGAATGAATTCGACAAATAACAAAACAAATACAAAAAATGATTTGATTCAAATAAGGATCAATTTTAGGATCAAGATCAATATTTTGATCATGTGTAAAATGCCCATATCTTGTAAAATAACAATAAATTTATTCTAAAAATTTTACAAGCATGCTCAATTTCAAGTCCAATTTTTGCAAGTTAATATTGAATTTGTAATCTTTGAAGATAAAACAATGGGAAATATTTCAGTTTTAAAATTTGATATTGATATTGATCCTGATCCTAAATAAATCTTAGTGAACACAGGGCCAGGGCTTCAGTGGCACATACAATTTTCACTTGCTGAAGAATTTTGTACTGTATAAATTTATAAACTCCTGATGAGCTGCATTGTCTGCTTAATTGTGCCAATATAATTTAATGATTGATCATTCATATGTAATTGAAATTCAAAGATTGAGGAATTCAATTGGTGTGGCCAAGTGGTTAACTGCTGACTAGTATAATGCAAGGATTGCTGACCACCGATTTTTCTTTGAGCAAGAAACTTTACATTTATTGCTTAGTACTGGTTGGTTCCAGGACGGATTTGAGACTGTTTCAATAAGCTTATACCTTCCAACACAATCAAACTAGAATAAATTTGTATAAACGATAAACTTACGATGTGCTATGTGATCAGAAATAGCATTAGCTGAATGATATATTATTGTCATCTGATATGAGCATGAAGAGTCCAATAATTTGATATTTTTATTGATGGTATATGTATTTAGTATCCTACAAGACAGCAAACCACAAAAGACTTATATATGACTATTGTCAAGGTCAAGGTCAGTCTGTGGTTTATATAACAAGGCCAAAAATGTTAACAAATAAATGCTTCCTATTCATGTAGGTCAGTTTTAATTACATTTCAAAATGTTCACCTTAACTAGGCAATGTACATAATCTATGTCCCCCTTGTACCAGCTCAAGGTCATATTTAATACAGCCAATTATGAGACAATTTCATGTCCAATCTATAAATCTATACCCATGCAAGGTATATATATATTCTTCAAACTTGGCTCAAATTTACACCTGAAGAAAGAAATAGGCAGAACCTATCTCAGTTTTGTGCAAAGTCAAGGTCAAGGTCAATTTTGTATCTGCTGTCTATAAATCATATACCTCTTGAAGGATTGTCTTGAAACTGGAACAAGGAAATGTGTAGAACCCATGACTCCCGTGTGCAAGTTCAAGGTCAATGTCACGCTTAAAGGTTAAAGGTCAAACAACCAATTTCAATCAATTGTCAGACAATTTCATGTCTGATCTATAAATTCTTTACTTTTTTAAGGATTTTCTTTAAGTAAACTTGGAATTTTTACGTTTTATCTTACTATTTATGTTAATAAATTTGGTGTCTCTTTCTATTTCAGTGTAAAGTTCACAGTAGGTGCTGTAAGGAGTTTAATGACAGGTGTTCCATTTGAAGATTTTCTAAATGCCACATTCACGGAAGAGATGGCAAAACAAGGTGCACACCACACAGAACAATCAAATGTCTACTGATTGTGCTCACTCTTAATTTTGGAACAATCAAATGTTTACGGAATTGTGTACCTGTTTAGCACTATCAAATCTGTACTGAAATGTGAACCACTTTGGAACTATTAAATCTGTACTGAAATGCCTACCAATTTGGAACTATAAAATCTGTACTGAAATGTGTACCAATTTGGAACTATTAAATCTGTACTGAAATGTGTACCAATTTGGAACTATTAAATTTGTACTGAAATGTGTACCAATTTGGAACTATTAAATTTGTACCGAAATGTGTACCAATTTGGAACTATTAAATATGTACTGGCTTGAGATCTCATTTAGGATCAGTCATGTGTTTACTCAATTGTCCCAGTTAGGATCAGTCATGTGTTTACTCAATTGTCTCAGTTAGGATCAGTCATGTGTTTACTCAATTGTCCCATCATATAAAAAAACACTAAGTGGAGTCCCTTTAACAAAATTCTTCTATGAAATGACAAAGGCTAGAGTTTAGATATTTTGGCATCGGGTCAAATACCCCCCCCCCCCCCCCCCCATTCACACACAACATGGGTCATGTAAAAAGAGCTGCAGCTATGAATTTTGGAAAATATGGAAAGTTTCTGATGATGTAGATTTGAACTCTGGTAATAGTGGACTAAGATTTTGTCCCATTGATCTACTTTTTTACCCAGTGACCTGTTTGTATTGATAGCAACTGCATTGGAATTCAGATTTGGACTTTGATATTGATCAGTTGTCCTAATTTTTTTACCCAGTGACATACTTTTCAGCTCACCTGATCATTATTTGTCTTGTACAGACAGTGTTTCTCAGGTGAGCCATATAGAGACTTATTAGCCCTCTAGTTTGTCTTTATAAGGATGGAAAATATGTCAAAAATGACTTATGTGTGTTTGTTTAGATAATTTCCATTTAAAGCTGCATGCCTCCAGATGAACCAAAATATTTTTTAAAAATGTACTAGATTTTAAAAAATATTCACAATTCAAGAAATAATTTACATGTTATATGTAATTTATGACTGAATTTGCAGTATTTATTAACATATTTCTACTGCGTGACTAACACAGTTGGGGCTATTTTTGTATATTCTTACTTATTTTTAGTATTTTTTTTAGATTTTTAGTGCTGTTTACAGTGTTTTAAATACTTCCTTTGTTCACTTGAAAACTTGTTAAGACAAATGATTGAAAATGGGAGAATGCATGAACAAAATGTATAAATATTACATGAAAAATTGGTATAAATAATACTACATGTAGTATATTTTAATTGATGAAATAAAGTTAAAATGCTTTGATTCAGTTGTGTTTGTTTGTTAAAGGCCCATTAAGCCTCAGACAAATATTTTATCATATTTAATTTCTCTGTTTCTCATCAACTTTCTATTTTTAGTATCTCGTTACAGTTTTCAAGGAATTTTTCATTGGCCAAAAAGATTAACTATCTTTCTGCTCTTTGCAATTGGTATAATTATATTGATTTAGTATTTTGTATGGAAGTCAAAATACTACCTTGTTTACATTTTTCTACCTTTACAACACATCACTGCAAATTCTTCAGTTACTTGCTTCAATTGTTTAACATCTGCCATGATCTTATTCTATTATTTCATCATTATTAAAGCTGCCTGTCTCCAGATGAGTGAAAATATTTTGAGAAAATTAAATAATGAGAAAAATATACACAGAATTTAAGAAAAAATTTAGATTAAAATAATAATTTATATGGTATGTGCAATAAAGGACTGATTTGTCAGTATTAAGTATTAATCACCATATTTTTTACTGCATTACTTAAATGAAGTAAGGGCAATTTTTGCTTATTTTGACCTCTTATTATTAATTTACGTGGATTGAAATGTGTAAATAATTTTCTTTGTTAACTTCACAATATTTAACTGCTAAATACATTTTTTCAATTTTCTTGAAAATTAGCATGAATCTTGAGACATGTTGCTGTAAACACTTGTTTAACTTTTTAAAGAAGAAAATAATTTTTGGTTTCCTAAGCATGTAAGTGACTTTAAATTATTAAATGCTAATGTTTAAAGGGACTCCATCACGTTTTTTTTTTTTTTAGTTTTTTTAACAAGACGGAACTGGAAATATTTTTCTGAGATTATTATACCATTTAATGAAGGTCTAGCTTCCGTTGTTGGAACTGTCCATTATCAATTTTAGGGATATCAAGATTTTAGGGAAGGTCTGCTGAATAACATCCTCGGTAACTCATGCAATTGATTTTTGCATGCCAGTATTAAATATATATGGAATATGTACTGTGAGGTTAGCTCAATAGGTAGAGGGTCAGACTGTGAATTGGGCGACCTGTGTTTTAATCCCAGACGGTGAAAATTACTTTCGTTGTGACTGATCATAAAATCCTTTCTATGTCATTCGCACTGTACCTCTGCTTTGGCATGTACAGAAGTTACAGTTCCTTGCGAAAGTGAAGGTATTTAGTACTGGTAAACGGCAGGAGCAATGTGGGGTATGAACTGTGTTCTGGTAAGTTCAATAATGTAGCTCCCTGTTGCGATCCGGTGGGTAAAGTACCAACACCGGTAAGGTTAAATAATTAACACATCGTATGTAGAATCATAGAAAAAACGTTATATAACTCTGGTATATTATGTCGATCAGGATACATGTTAATTAATAATATATTGAAGGCTATACTCATTGTCATGTCTGTATTTCTTCCTATATGTCTGAAAAACATCCTATAGATGAAAAGTCATTTATCAAATAATATTCTGTTCTGTTTTTCAGATACAAATGTAGAATTTTACAACCGCCAGTTATTTTATTAAAATATTTATTAACAAAAACATCATTCTTTCAAAAAGGTTCTGTGTTTTAGATTTAAAGGCCCATTACGTCACAGAAACACGTTTATTTTTATTTCTCAAAAGCTTTTTATGGTGTGTAAGAGTTTCCCAAAGAGGGTTAATCGTTAGCTAATTAATTTAAACCACACTTTGCTTCTTTGTTTGCGTTTTAGCACTTAGCACAGTTATAATGGTTAAGTATTTTGTATGGAAGTTAAAAAGATACTTTGTTTATATTTTGCTTCTTTAATGACAAATAATTTCCAATTCATAGCTACTTTCTCGCTGCTTTTCCCAGATAATAAGTATCTAATTGTAATTCAAGCTTCAATGATATAAAACTCGAGTTTGCCCTTTCTAAAAATGGAAAAATTCACTCAATTCTAAGGCATAGTGGCCTTTCAAGAATTTTTTATGGTGTTGATTTATTGAGACTGATCTTGATTACCTTTGATATTTAATACAGTTAGTTTTAATTAATTTTTTTATTAAAATGTAAACCTGGAATATATTGTACGTCATTTATTAAAATACTTTCATGTTGAAGATATTGACAGCCTAGATTATTGACTAACCGGGAAGTAACTTGCCAGACCAACAATATGGCCTCATATAAACGGACGTATGCGTATATTACCCGATTTTACGAATTTATAATACAGCATACTTCCTTTCTTTGAGAGTAAAAAAAAAGAAAATTGATTCGTCGCGTACGTATCATTTAAATAAATTTTACGCTTATCCAATCAAAAGCGACGTTGCAAACGTGTAGTTTTACAATAGAACAAGAGATAGCATCATTCATATAACGCTGCCCTGACAACATCTTGTCAAACTGATCCAGCGGAATGGCATCCTCTCATATACCGGTGCTAGAAACGGGAGAGTGTCGTCCATAAAACATGTGACATAAATATCGTCATCATAGTGCCGTGACTGGGTTACGCCTATTCAAAATATAAGGAGTTAACCCGTTACTGCTCTAAGGTGACAATATATGCTCTAGACAAATCGCAGCCCAAATCTTGTCAAACAGAACCACTGGAATGACTGATGCACGGGGACTTAAAAAACAGGAGAGCGTGACAAAGGGCAGGGCATGAAAGGAAATTAAAGCAAACCATCGGGGCAACCATAAAATATTACATGTGAAATGCGGAAGCCATCAAACGCTATTCTACTAATCGTGTTTTAAGCGTTTTGTTTTTGCTTTGTTTTAGCTTACCTGAGCACAAAGTGAAAATGGAGTGAGGAAATGCTCTAAATTTTGGCACGCAAGTTATTGGTACAATGGTACACAAGTCAAATGGTACACAAGTCCCCCAAAACCTGTTTCAAACAAATTCATACATAAAAAGACCCCTCATCTCGGAATGTTTCTTTAAAAAAAAATTATCTCGGCCTTACGGCCTCGACATTTTTTTTTAGCAGAAACACCCCTTGATGTCGCCCGAGCCAGTGTTATATCCTTGTATACTAACTTGTTTCATATACTTTACTATTACTTACGGTGTTGCTGCCAAAACAAATGATCACTGCTTTCAGACGAGCTTGACTGAATGATAGGTTTTACAACTGGGACTGGGGGCTGACACACGTTCGATAAGCATAGCCGACATGCAAAAGCGGCTTTTGAATGATATTTTAGTCAAAAATTCTCAGTGGAGTCCCTGTTAAGTATGCAATGTTAATTAAGAAAGGTGTGAGTTTTTTTTTTTTGGTTACAACATGTACATAAAGATGATTTTGAGCGGGCATGTCCAAATCTCAAAACTGATTTATTGTTGCGCAATAAGTATAGGCACAAAAAAAAACACATTAAATGGCATTCTCTTGATATATTAAACGATGAATCAGTATAAGGTACGTTTAGTTATACTGGCTACTGGTTAACAAAGGAATGAGTAAAAGTTAACCTTTTTCAAGGAAACATATTTCATATTATCACCTTAAAGTACGTCAGAGGATACAGCGTCCGGTGCCAATTTAATATGTTCTATAAAAAGGGATTACTACGTACATGTAGGGGATAAAAAAAGCCTTATTAGGAGTTTGTATCTCCTATACGTAGGACTTTATGTAATTTACATTTTGCTACATTTACGGTCAATAATTTCTCATTCAGCTCTATTTTATTCAGGTGATAAGCATTTAACATATTCTAAAACTATTGTTTAAACGTTATAAAAACTCATGTTTGCCCCTTACAAAAGACGTCAAATTTATCCTTTTTTTAGTCATAATGTGCTTTTAATAGTGTGTTTCAGTTCCTCATATTGTCTTTTCAGATTCATTAAAGAACATCAAATTCAATTATACATTATAATTTTTTTAGTTGAAAGATATTTTTATATTTCATGATTTCCTGACACAAATAAAACAAATATACAAGGATCAATGTATTCAGCAAAAACTAAATTTGAATTGATTTTTGGGTATTAAATTTCAACCGCTTGCATGAACAACTTTAGTATGAAATATCTCTTCTGTAAGCTGGAAATGAAATTTAAAAAAAAGCAAACATTAATTGAATAAAAATATTTGTACAAACGCACGTATATTAATAAATAAGAACTATTTAAAATAAATTTTATCATTTTTTTTTTTTTAATTTTGGTTTCCAGGGGAGTAAACTGTATCGTACTGTGATTTAACTTGATTGAGTGCTTTCCCTTTAATTAGATTTTGTTATCGTATGGGAAATGACAATAGCGGCAGCGTCTGACCTCGTAGTTTCTGTCGCAGTAATCAACCTTACGGAAAAAGCTGGTCTATGGTCAGCACTGGTATAGAATCTACCGGTAATCACATGTATATGTCTTAGAGGTAAATATAACACATATTAGTTTTGAACCTTGTAATGTGTAATGGTTGTAATTCGGAAAAAAAAAACCTTTTTTATAAGTTTACAATAAAATATCTTAAGTAATCAACACTTTTACGAGTGCACGATATTGGTTCAAATGAGAGATCATTATCTAACGTTCTGCAGTTGTGAACCTGTTCATATACATTGTATGTGATATGGCTAATAATGAACAACAACTAATTAAAATTTAGGGTAAATCCCAAAGTTAAAATAAAACCAAAGTGGAGATAATCCATGAAAGATATAAATAGCCATATTTTTGAACGTGATAAAAAATAAAACGAATGAATATCTGAAGTAAAAAAGGCACAAAAGAAAAATAACATTTTTACACAATTTTTTTTAGTTTAAAGACGAATAAGTTTTTGAAATATTCGTGTCAGGGTTATAAACCATATACCATATAACCATTTGGTGTGGTAGATGATATAAAAAATAACATCTTTCCATCTGGAATAAAGTATGAAAAACTAGATCATCAAGGAAGGGCGGCGTTCAATGAACGCAACCCCCACATGACCTTGCAACACAGGACCACCGGCAAGGAGCCCAGCAGCGCACCAAACAAAAACAGGACAGGGCACCCTGTCCAAGGCAA